CTGGTTATCTCTCACTTGGACTACTGCAATGCGCTCTCTGTGGGGCTGCCTTTGAAGGTGACCTGGAAACTACAACTAATCCAGAATGCGGCAGCTGGACTGGTGACTGGGGGCGGCCGCCGAGACCATATAACACTGGTCTTGAAAGACCCACACTGGCTCCCAGTATGTTTCCGAGCACAATTCAAAGTGTTGGCGCTGACCTTGAAAGCCCTAAATGGCCTCGGCCCAGGAAACCTGAAGGAGTTCTCCACCTCCATCGTTCTGTCCGGACACTGAGGTCCAGCTCCGAGGACCTTCTGGTGGTTCCCTCCCTGCGAGAAGTGAGGTTACAGGGGACCAGGCAGAGGGCCTTCTCGGTAGTGGCACCCACCCTGTGGAACGCCCTCCCACCAGATGTCAAAGAGAAAAATAACTACCAAACTTTTAGAAGACATCTGAAGGCAGCCCTGTTTGGGGAAGCTTTTAATGTTTAACAGGTTATTGTATTTTAGTGTTTTGTTGGAAGCCGCCCAGAGTGGCTGGGGAAACCCAGCCAGTTGGGCGGGGTATAAATAATAAATTATTATTATATTATCATTATTCTGCATAGCTTGGGGCGCAGCCCCAGATGCAGAGAGCAAGTCAATTAAAGCAGGAACAGGCACCACTGTCTGCAAGAGGGTGCTTTGGGGTTTTGAGTGGTGGCAGTTTGGGAAAAAGCATGCTAAAATGAATATGGATGGATCCCAGCTCTCACGCCAACATTTGCAAATTGTCTCTTTTTTTAAGCTACTCTCCCCTTTTAATAGGGCAGCCACTGTTTCTCACTTTTGAATCTCCCCAAGCGCATTGGCAGGATACGGCTTGTTCATACTGGAGCAACCGAGACGCACTGTCGTTTTACAGACCCAAACAGGGCAGCAAATGTGTATTGTCACAAGCTTATATTTTAAAACCTACCAGTTGGAAAGCACGCCAGTGCAAGTAGATCAGGAGTAGGCAACCTCAGGCCCGGGGGCCGGATGCGGCCCAATCGCCTTCTCAATCCGGCCCACGGATGGTCTGGGAATCAGTGTGTTTTTACATGAGTAGAATGTGTGCTTTTATTTAAAATGTATCTCTGGGTTATTTGTGGGGCATAGGAATTCGTTCATTTCCCCCCCCCCCCTCAAAATATAGTCTGGCTCACCACATGGTCTGTGGGACGGTGGACAGGCCCACAGCTGAAAAAGGTTGTCGAGCCCTGAAGTAGATAAATGGGTACCGCTGTGGCGGGAAGGTAAACTGTGTTTCCGTGCGCTCTGGTGTCTGTCACGGTGTGCTGTTGCGCCAGAAGCGGTTTAGTTCTGGTGGCCACATGACCCAGAAAGCTCAAAATGTTTATTCGGCTTTACGCCCATCATAAAGCACAACACACAAAACAAATCAAATAAAACAGCGGTCTCGTACAAGCCACAAGTAATATAACACAATTCACAGCTCACAAGGACAAATATTGGCAAATCAAAACAGAAATTTAAGATTAAAGTTAAAAATTTAGGCACTACGCTAAAATCAATATCTGATGTCAATATCAAAAATTCTTATAACTATCAATAATCAGCTAACATTCCATTCCGTCTCTTGTACGAGAGAACGGCTGTTAGGAATTTAGCAACCTGTAGAGTAATATAAGGATCTGCATCTTGAAGAACCCAGGCAAGCTGTAGGTCTACTGGTTTGTCAGCCATAGGCTGGATTATGGAGTTTAGTATACTAGCGCGAGCTGAACTGTACATAGGGCAGATAAACATAACATGATGTAAAGATTCAGATGTTTTCATTTCACAAGCACACATTGAAGGGACTTGGCCCTTAGTGAATCTATGTCTCAGCACGTTTGTTGGAAAAACATTGAACCTGGCTCTAATGAAGGCATATCGGTGAGATGCGGCTATAAGCGATGTTAAGTAGGACGGAGCACGATAGATAGGGGTTATGCCGAGATTTAACGGGGAGCAGGCTCCACCACCAGCTAAGAAATTTTGGTATAGCTCCACATCATCCAGCCTTTGATTTATACACCTTTTGCCGCGTTTAGATCCAGTTTGAGCAATTCCGTGGGCGAGATCTCATAGGACAGCAATTTGGCATGGATTTTTCCTGACCACAAATTTGTGAAGTCATCCCGCCACATGCATTGAATGAGATAATGGTTCGGTAGTTTATGCCATAGGGATATCCAATAAATCAAAACTCTCCTCCATAAAACTAACTCCACTGAGGGGATCTTCATTTCTAAGCGAATAGCCGCATTACTTACGCATGTTGGTAGTTTTAGAAGCCGGCGTAAGAATTGGCTTTGAAGCGACTACCCAGAAAGCTGTCAGTGGACAAAGCTGGCTCCCTTGGCCTGAAAGCGAGATGAGCGCCGCAACCCCATACGGTGGTACCTCGGGTTAAGAACTTCAATTCATTTTGGAGGTCCGTTCTTAACCTGAAGCACCACTTTAGCTAATGGGGCCTCCTGCTGCCGCCGCACCGCCGGAGCACAATTTCTGTTCTCATCCTGAAGCAAAGTTCTTAACCCGAGGTACTATTTCTGGGTTAGCCGAGTCTGTAACCTGAAGCGTCTGTAACCCGAGGTACCACTGTAGTCGCCTTTGACTGGACTTAACTTTCCAGGAGTCCTTTACCTTTATAATTTAAAGCAAAAGTGGTAATGGGGAAACCGAAAGCGTTCTATGCCTGTCTTAGGATTCCAAATCCTATGTGTGTTTTTTAAAGGAAGCAAAGTTTCTAGTTTTCATTTCTGCTTAGTGGAAGGAGCAGGGAAATCTCTGTTATGCAAGACTTCTAGCCTGGAGTCTTGTATTTGCTTCCTTCCTAGCAGGGAAGGAAGCTACTTGGGGAAGGGGAGCAAGTTACGCAGATCTACTTAATAATTTTCTCCTTCAGATGCCTCCTTTTCTCACAGATGAAATTAGGCTAAGGTCCCAGGCTCCCTTCCCTCCAACACTCAGTGACCGCACCTTAAAAAATGGAAATCTCAAGTTTGCCCTGCCCCTTACTAGGATGTTTCTGTGCACTGGAAGAAAGGGATAGATTATTGCCAATGCACATTTGCATGTGCCTTTGTACAGAAAGGAATGCACCGCTGCACAGGATATATGCACCCCACAACCTGCCTTCACTTACGGGCTGGAGCTGTCCAAATTCCAATTTAACAGGTGGCTTCAAAGCTTTCTACAAAAGCCATGGTTTTATGTACACAGAGAGCATGCAGAGTTCATTGGGGACAGAGCTGGATGTCGTCCTATCTGGGGAACGACGAGAGCTCGTAAACATGCAGGTTGCATCATGCGTCTCGGGAGGGACGATGGGAACGGGAGATAAGGTTATTGTCAAAATCTTGTGCCAGAGGGAAGGCTTGAAAGGTCATGCGGCGATAGGTCTTTGCTCTGCTCCTGCAGGCAGTGCAACTCTCTCTTGCTGTGCATCTTAAACGCAAACACCACCTCTGGTTTTGTGATCAGGGTAATGCGTCCTAGAGATGTTCCTGGTGATTGTTCTGAAGCTTCCTTTTTCGGGGAGGTTCCCCCTCCCCCCCCCCAAACCCACGACTAAAACCCTTTCCATGGCCCACTTGCAGTTTGCCTCTGTGGAACGGCAGCCAAATCTCTTATTTCTCAGCGCTCGAGATCTCCACCTGCTTTGTCTGCTGCGTTTGTGAGATAGTAAACAGTTCCCCTTACGACTGGCTGCCTTCCTCTCCTGTACTTTCCTCTCGCACCCTGCTCCTCTTCTGCAGGTTTTTCCTTCTGAACGATTTAAGCCTCGCGTCCGATTCCAGGGTTCTAGTTCTCATTTTAAAAGCTCCCTCTTCCTCAAGCTCCTTTAGTGTCAGTCTCCCCTGCTGCTTCCCCCAAGGCATGCTGATTTTTCATAGGTACGGCGGATGCTCAGGTTGCAAACGTGATCCGTGCGGGATGCATGTTTGCAACCGGCATCTGTGCACGCTTGGCTTGCGATTTGGAGCTTCTGCACATGCGCGGCTGCCGAAACCCGGAAGTAACCTGTTCCGGTACTTCTGAGTTTCAGTGGTCCGCAACCCCCGCCCCCCCAAAAGCAACCTGAAGCGTCTGTAACCTGAGGTATGATTGCACTTTTCTCTGCACTAGCTAGGCACCTCCTGTTCCTCTCTACACCATTGCCCCATCCTGTCTGCCCCCATCTTCATCATCCACTCAGGATAAACGCTCACCTGGTGTGCCCTTTGGCGACAAATTCCATTCTAAGGTCAGGGAGGCAAGCTCCACGCTGCTTTTACCCCTTTCATCTCACCGCCCCCGGAAAGGCTGCGAGAGAGGACACCCCCCCAAAAAATCAGAACAGGCAACAGAGCTAGACAGGCCAATGGGCTGCTGCCTCAGCCTAGGGTAAGGTTAACAAGTTTTTTTCAATGAATCCGGGGACACTTTTCAACTTCAGTGGATTTTGTATGGGGACTGATTTGTAAATCCAGGGACTGTCCCTGGGAAACGGGGGCGCCTAGGGCATCTTCCAATTTAAATCGGCTCCTTTCCCCCAGCACCATGAGGACTAGGCTCTTACCGTGTTTTTATGGGAAGGTGAGTCACAGAAATGTGCAACTCCACAGAGAGGCGGCAGGGGGTGAAGAGACCAAAGGGGGGGGGGCGGTGGAAAAAGTAAATCTGCTTTATTTGGAGGAAAATCAGCTTGTTCTTAAAAGAGGTGAGCTGTTTCCAGCAACTGGAAGAGGATGGGTGACAGGACAGTGAGACTCTCTTCTCAGACGCTGCAGGGTTGCAGACTTAGGTCATGGCTGGGTGGGGGCTGCAGACCTTGCAAATAGCCCTCCCTCAAGCAACAGCTTAAGAGGACGGAAAGGGAGAGACTGCCAAGCAGTGAAATGCCCTCAGCTCCCACTCCAAGGTTTGACAGAACACGAGAGACTGTTTCACCCCCATGAACTCCCCCCCCCTTTTTAAAAAAAGAAGCAGTCATGGCACACAATATTTCTTTCTGGTTTTTTTTTTTTTTTTTGGTAGTGTTGTAACGGGTCACTGCAGAGAAAGCTACAAGGGCCCAAAAAGGGGGGCCAAAAGAAAAAGGATGTGGTGTTTAGAGAAGCCACGGTGCTGGAAAAAGCGAGGATCGTTGTGGCAGTGGTACCCATTGCTGGTGGCCGTGTGGGGCAGAGGGTAGAGAAGCTATAGGAGACCACGCGTGGTTTCAGCAGTTGCACGCTTCTCGGGAGACTTCCCTATGGGTCTTAGAAAAGGCAGTGGGGCTCAAGCTGGCTATTTTCTGACCTAACAGAAGCCGCCGAGGTGGAAAAGGAGGCGAAACCTTTTGCCTTTTTGCATTCTCCGGCCAAACCAGCAGCTGGTCGTCTGGTGTCCTCCCCAAAGCTGAGGGTCATTTTAGGAAGGGGGAGAGAGAGAGAGATATGCCCTGCTCAACTGTATTGTGGAGCGTGGCTTTGATCGGCTTCCCATGTGGTTTGCTGCCAGGGAAATAAACCTCCAACTTGGGGCTGCGGGGAAGGCAGACAGATCTCAGCTCACCCTTCAAACTTCCCCCCAAAAACGCCTCCTGTCCTGTCCCCCGCAATGCCCGAGGCTCAAATTGTGAGGACTACATTAAAGAAATAAAAATTAAAAAGGGATGTGCTAATGTATAGGTAAAAAAAAAAAAGAGACTGGGTTTTTTTCCTTAAAAAAAAAGAAAAAAGAAAAGAAGAGGAAGATTTTACTCTACGATTTTAAGTTTTCTCTTAAAACGTGTAGTGAATTGATCTTTGCGAGGGGGCGCTATGATATTCTTGGTGCTATGGCATGGGACGATTGGAAGGAACACCCTAAGCACTCAGCTCAACTGACATGTCACCTGAAAGAGAGAAAGAAGACGTAGAATTAGGGTAAGTTCATCACTGTGTATGACTCTTCAGCATGCTACAGGCATAGCTTAATACTGTTTTAAGGAAATTTTCATTTACTGTATTTTTTGCTCCGTAAGATGCACCTAGTTTTTAGAGGGGGAAAGCAAAAAAATATATATATATGCACAGAGCATGTACCGTATTTTTCGCTCTATAGGACGCACCTAGTTGGGGGGGGGGGGGAGGAAACAAGGCGAAAAAAATTCTGAATCCCAGAAGCCAGAACAGCAACAGGGATCTGGCTTCTGGGATAGCTGGTCTAGCTTTGCGCGAAGCCTCCGCAGGGCACGGGGAGCCTTCATCCCCGTGCCCTGTGGAGGCTCCTGGGACAGCCTGCGAAGCCTCCAGAGGGCAGCGGGATGAAACACCCCAATGCCCTGTGGAGGCTTTGTGCAGCTAACCCTGAAGCCTTTGGAGCGCAGCGCGAGGTCCCGCTGCGCTCCAAAGGCTTCGCGTTGCTTTCTCTGTAGCCTAGGAGTCTGCATTCCTCACAAATCCATAGGACGCACAAACATTTCCCCTTAATTTTTGGAGGGGAAAAAATGCGTCCTATAGAGCGAAAAATATGGTAAGCGGCTCTTGCTTTTTCTTGCTTTAAAGCAACCAAAGCGAGAGCCATGGCTTCTCTCCCGCTTTTGCGCAACTCTCACTTTGCTTGCCCATCCCTCGCTGTAAAAGAGGAGGAGATACCGGGACAGGTGCTTTGCAGCGCGGCTGGAGGAGGGATGGGCAAGCAAAATGAGAGCTGTGCAAAGCGGGAGAGAAGCCATGTAAGCGGCTCTCGCTTTGCTTGCTCCCGTCCGTCCCTCCTCCCGCTTCGCTGGGAAGCCAGCAGAGCAAGAGTGATAGCTGCGCAGCGGCTCTTGCTCTGCTGGCTTCTCAGCGAGCGACAGACGGGAGCCATGGCTCCGGTGGCATCCCTCAGCTTGCGACTGGAGGCGGTAGCCGAGGGATCCCTCTGCCGCCCAGTGCACTCGCTCCACAAGACGCACAGACATTACCCCTTACTTTTTAGGAGGAAACAAGTGCGCCTTATGGAGCGAAAAACCAGTATTTCATGAAATTTGTACGCCGCTTGATTGTAAAAACAAACTCAAAGCAGTTTAGAAAAAGAATAAAATTATGAGTTTCACCACAAACCTGGTGGTGGCAGCAGCGGCGGAGGAAGAACCAGCAGCCAGAAAGGGCTGCTCGTTCCTCCTTCTCCACCGCTGACAGGGGCAAAGGGGGAGGTGGCGGGACAAGTGGTTGGGAGAGGCGCTGCCCTGCGCTGTGCCTCTCCCAATTGCAGCTCCTGAGCCTGCCTTTGCGAGCGGCAGAGGTAGGCAGAGGCAGCGGTGGAGGGACAAGCGGCCAGACAGGAGCCCTTTCTCGCCGCTGGTCCCTCTGCCACCGCCCGCCTCTCCCAAGGGCAGGCACAGGAGCCACGGTTGGGAGAGGCACAGCGCAGCGGCAGCGGTGGAGGGACGAGAGGCCCGAAAGGGCTCCTTTCTTGCCGCTTGTCCCCCCGCCTCTGACGCTTGCAAGAGCAGGCACAGGAGCTGCGATTGGTGGAGGCACAGCAGCGCCTCTTCCAACTGCGGCTCCTGTGCCTGCCCTTGCGAGAGGCGGCGGTGGGACCAGCAGTGAGAAAGAGCTCCTTTCGGGCCGCTCGTCCTGCCGCCGCCACCCCACTTGAGTATAAGCCGACGGGCTTTTTCAGCATAAAAAATGTGCTGAAAGCTGGCTTACACTTTTTGCCCTATAGGACGCACTTTTTCCCCTCCAAAAATGAAGGGGAAATGTGTGTGCGTCCTATGGAGTGAATGCAGGGGGGAGGCAGGCAGGAAAAGCCCCCAAAAGCCGCACACAAGCTCCGTGCGGCTCTTGGGGGCTTTTCCTCAGGAGGGAGAAGGGACTGACGGGGCCAGTCAGTCCCTTCTCCCTCTTCATAGTAAAGCCCGCAGGAGCCGCGTGCTCCTTAAAGGGTGTGTGGCTCCTGTGGGGTTTTGCGGGAGGTGGGGGTACTGCCATAGCCGCGCGCAGCCTCTCCCTGCCGGAGAGGTTGCACGCGGCTATGGCAGAAGCCAAGACAGCAAGTGGGATGCGTCCCGCTCGCTGTCTTGGCTTCTTTGCTCTTTGGGGGGAGACCCGGGCTTCCCCGGCAGCCCTAAAAAGCTCGCGGAGCAGCAGGAAGGCTGTGCGCTTTTCCGCTGCTCCCCGACCTGCTCTTTGGGGCTGGCGGTGGGCTTCTCCCCGCCAGGACCTAAAGAGCAGGTCGAAAGGAACCCAAAGCCTCCGGAACGCAGCGGGAACTCCCACAGCGCTCCAGAGGCTTCGGGTTGCCTTCACTGGAGAGGGAGAGGGGTTGGTGCGCACTGACCCCTCTCGCTCTCCAGGCTTCCAAGGTACCGTATTTTTTGCTCCATAGGGCGCACCTAGTTTTCAGAGGGGGAAATCAAGGGGAAAAAATATGACCCCCCCCCCCGCTCTGGGAGCAGCGGACAGGCTGCATGCAGCCCGTGAGCTTCTCCCTGCTTTTGTGGGAGGTGGGGGAATTCCCCCATCTCCCGCAAAAGCACACAGGAGCCATGCACCCTTTAAGGAGCGCACAGCTCCTGCGGGCTTTTCGACCAGGAGGGAGAAGGGACTGACACGGCCAGTCAGTCCCTTCTCCCTCCTTGGGGAAAAGCCTCAAAGAGGTCGGGGAGCAGCAAAGGCCGCTTCTTTGCGGGGAGACCCGGGCTCGCTACACACCTTTTCGCTGCTCCCCGACCTGCTCTTTGGGGCTGGCGGTGGGGGAAAGCGCTGCGCTCCAAAGGCTTGAGGCTTCTGGGACAGGCTTTGTAGCTTTGCACAGCCATCCCCAAGCTAGAACAGCGTGACGGAGCACTCCGTCTCCCTGTTCTGGCTTTGGGCTTAGCCGCGCAGCCTGTATTCGCTCTATAGGACGCACACACATTTCCCCTTAATTTTTGGAGGGGGAAAAGTGCGTCCTATAGAGCGGAAAATACGGTAGCCGCCTGAAGGCACCTTGTTTTAGAGGGGGAGAACAAGGAAAAAAAATTCCCCCCTCTTTGTGCAGCACCTCCTGCCACTTCGCTGAAGGGGCGCTGGGCAGAGAGGGGGAGAATTTTTTTTTCTTGTTCTCCCCCTCTAAAACAAGGTGCGTCCTATAGAGCGAAAAATACGGTATATACAGTAACTAAGAATGTCCTGCTCCTAGGTTATTACAGTCATACTTTGGATCCCAAACACCTTCATATTCGGATTTCTTGGCTCCTGAACACCGCAAACTGGGAAGTAAGTGTTCAGGTTTGTGAACATTCTTTGGAACCTGAACGTCCAGCGGGTGTTCCGATTGGCTGCCGGAGCTTCCTGCAGCCAATCGGAAGCCACGCTTCGATTTCCAAATGTTTTGGAAGTCGAACTCACTTCCGGAAGAGATTCTGTTCGACTTCCAAGGTATGGTTGTATAATACCTCCCCACCCTGCCAATAGAGCTCAACACACAAATTTCCCCATCTGTGAATTGGGAATGACATCAAAGACAGGATTGAGGGGGGCCACGATACCACCGACAATATATGAAGTGTTAGATCACCTTCCCTCTTGTTCCAATCAACCGCCTTTCTACCTTGGCCCTTCTCAGGGTGATGTATGGGGGGAGTAATCTTGCGCTGCCCCACACAACACCCCTGGCCTGGTGTGACAGGCCCAAGAACACCCTATGAGGTGTGTGTGCATGTGATGTCCAAGTGGAGATTCAAACTCAGTTCCCCCACACATAAACACCACGAAGGCCCCGGCTTAGGCAATTTGGAAGAGCCATTTCCTAAGCCAGAACCAGAGAGAGCAAGCAAGCAGAGCTTTTATCTCTGGGAAAGGCTAGGTACCTTTTTGGATGTTCTTGCCCCCACCCCTGCCACTTCCAGACACCCAGATTGCATCCCTACCTTGCCGTCTGCTTAATTTGCGTTCCTCTGGCGCACATTCTTGTCCTTATAATTTGTGGCATTGCTCTTCCTGGAGGGGAAAGGAACGGAGAAGAAACAGGACATGTGAGACCCAGAGGAAATCTCCAAACTCGGTGATGGGCCACAAAAAGGCATCGAGGCAGGAAAATCCAAGTGCCCCCTCCTACCCAACTTAATATAAGGCACCCAAATTCTTTCCTGCAGGAAGCCTCCCCCAATAATACTAGAATTTGGGACTAGCTTAGTTGGGCGATTCAGATAAGGGGAGTGCAAACGCTGAAGTCACATCAGGTGCCAAGCTTCTGGGGCATCATCGGGAACCCCCAAAATTTGAGTCACCAAGGTCTGCCACAAAAGGAAGTCCTTCTTCATACAACATGGTTACATTTCCAGGATGGGCATGGAATCACCGCAGAAGTTCAGAGTTGGAAAGGGCCCTAAGGATCATCTTGTCACACCCCCTGCAATGCGGGAATATGCGGCTGTCCCATATGGGGATCAAAGCTGCAATCTTGGCACAATGCTCTAAGCCAGGGCTCAGCAAACTTTGTCCCTCAGACCTTGTGGAGGGCCGGACTATATTTTGAAGGGAAAAAATGAACAAATTCCTATGCCCCACAAATAACCCAGAGATGCCTTTTAAATAAAAGCACACATTCTACTCATGAAAAAACACACAGATTCCCAGACTGTCCGCGGGCCAGGTTTAGAAGGCGACTGGGCCAGATCCAGCCCCTAGTTTGCCTACCCATGCTCTAAGCAACTGGGCTAGGCAGAGGTTCCCATGGAAAGTGCAGGGCTCCCAGCCTCTTAGGAAACAAATACTGTATGCGGGCTGGTGGGTCTGACTCCTATTTAGCGATCGCTGATTAAACCTGGCAGCAGCCCATGAAGGGACTGGCTCTTCTCTCCCCAAAATCTGCCCTAGACTGGCCATCCCAGCTATCAGCTTTCACACCAAGCATAGTTGACACTTCCAGCCTTGCTAGATGATCTTTGGAGAGATGCAGCTCTTTGTATCTCTGTTTAGTACAGCTCCTCTCTCCCCCCCTGCTTTTTCCAATGCCTCTAGGCAGTTTAGAAATAAAAATGAAGAGAGAAGAACCAACCAATAGAACTGCGTGCTTTGCCAGAAACTATGCAGCTCCTCTAAGAGGCTGCAGGCTTCAGCCCCTTTCAATACCATTTCCCACCAATGGGGGGGGGGGGTTGGGCAGGAGGAAGGGGCACGTGTTTGTGCCTTGATACTCACAGTGGTGCAGACCCTCCATCGTCATCTTCAGGGAGATGGAAGCAAGACGGGGGGAAAGCGGAAAAAAACAAGATTAGAAAGCCAGTTCTGGATGATTGGCGTATGCATTCCCAACTCGCCACCCCTGCCTGCCTAAAGACACCTACAGTTTGAAATTTGCCATGCGCATTTTGCACCTGGCTATCGGCCACTTGCGACCAAGGGAAGATACCCGAGTACCAGGATGGCACCTGACATCTCTACCATATGGGGATCTGGGCATGTTTTCACACACTAATACACAATCAGAATGGATTTCTGGAACCTAATGTCTTTTTTGTGCAGCCTGAGCAGCAGCAGCAGCAGCAGCAGCAGCAGCAGCAGCAGCAATTTATTTATTTATACCCCACCCACCTGGCTTGGTTTCCCCAGCCACTCTGGGTGGCTCCCAACAGAATATTAAAAACACAATAAAAGATCTAACATTAAAAACTTTCCTAAACAGGACTGGCTTCAGATAGTTGTTTCTTTCCTTGACATCTGATGGGAGGGCGTTCCACAGGGCGAGCGCCACTACCGAGAAGGCGCAGGCAGCATTAAGAAAAAGAGGTCAGAATAGGCCAATATATATGTGGACTGTTCCTGGATCCAGGGTCTTTTCTTCTAGGTTCTCAAAGCTCTTCACCTAGCTCAAGGTTGTCATCTGGACTAGCCAGATGTTTAACTGAGAATCAAAGCCTTTAGAGCCGCCTTGTCCCAAAATGGCAACTAGGCATTTGGTTTTGCAACTGCAACCTTGGTGTAAGGAGCCCATTTAGTACATAACTTATATATATCTGAGTTTCTAACACTGCTTGCACACCAACGTTCACCAAGTTGGTGCCCTCCTGATGTTTTGAACTACAACTCCCACCCACCCTCTGGCAGCGGGGTGTACCCCACAACTCGACAGCCTGCCCTGTGTGCTTCTGCACATGTGATGAAGGGTTCCCTGAAACTGTCCACATGCTCACAAGAGTGACACAGGATTCCACTGCTGATCTGCCACCCCCCACCCACCCTGCCCATATCATCTCTGGGGGAGAGGGACTCAACACTGCAGTTCCCCTTTAACTAGCTTGTACCGTCAAAACCGTGGACTCCGAAATTCTGTGCATACGTGGGTACCTCCCTCCGTCCCCTTAGGACATAAAACCCTCTCTCAAGTTCACCTCCATTTTACTGCTGATATAACAAGGGCTGGCCATTCTGAGCTTTGTAAGGTTTAGAGAGAAAGGGACACCTGGGAAATCCAAAGTTCCCAGGCTCCCCAACTCTTCTGGTGTGGCAGACTGCCGACTCCACACCAGGGAAGCACATTCAAGCGAGCGAGCAAGCGAAGAGGCTGTTTGAAATGTGAATGTCTCCACATTTCTGGACTGAACCACCACAAGAGCACAACGAAACAGCACTATGAGCTAGAGGAAAATGGCTGCCGGCGGCGTTGCAGGAGCACACACAGACCCTTTCAGGTGGACACCATGCCGCCATCTGATGGGCAGAGAAGCCCCCCATGCCTATCAGAGCCAAGACTTCTCCCTATTTTTCACAACAGGGGCAGGGACCCTGTCACCCTCCCAATATCACTAGACTCTCATTTTAGCACAGGGCTGCTAGATGTCTCTCTCTCTCTCACACACACACAGCAGGTAAGACCATCACCAACACATGGGGAAGAGGGCGATGCTTGGAGCTGGCTCTTTCACTTACCACAAGCAGATAACATGCAGCCGAAGAAGAGGAAGGAAGAGTGCAAAGATAATGCCAGCAAGGACACACCACACCACAGAGATAAGGTTTTGGTTTTCTGAACACACAAACCTTCTTTACCCCACTGGGGGTTTGTACTGTCTTGCCCGCTCTATGACCAGACAGTTGGCCCTATGTCACCTTTTTGTTTTTTGTTCTCAACAAAGCATTTTAGGAGCAAGAGATTCATTACATAAAACCATACTGTTTATAAAGTGTGGATGGCGAGCTTGCGGCCGCCCGGGTGCTGGCACTGCACTACAACTCCCATTACCCTTTGCTACCGGCCATACTGGGACTGGTGAGAGATGGAGTCCAGTGGGCCTCCTCTGCGTGGCAGATATTTCAAAGTAGAGCTTTCAGGAGCCTAAACCCCTGAAGATGGCGACTGCATATTGGGGGGGGGGGGGGCAGACGCAAAACACAGAGGTAAGTTTAGAAAAACAGCCAAGTGTGTTCTTAGCCCTACATGGCAGAAGAAGTGTGTGTGGCATTCAGTTGAAAAGGGCATATCTGCATCGGAGAAAAAAAGGCACAGGAGATCTGCAGAAACAAACACCCAATAATAGGATGCACAGAGCTGTTTTATAGAGACTACGGATACTTCTATAGCAGTGACAAAAAATAAAAATTAAAGGCACCAGTCTGTTGTTTTGCACAACTCTGGAGACCTCAGAGAGAGCGGAATTGGTGAAACCTCAAGTAGCAGAATTTCTGGTGGCTGTTAACGCTCCCTCACAGAACCACCCCTTCTCTAGGCAGCTCTTTCTGAACGGGGTGGGGAGAGTAAGATTGTGGCCCACTTTGGTCTGTTTTCCACCCCCCTGAATCTTTTCCAACCTGCACACTCACAACAAAGCCTGCCAATGCCTCCCCTACTGTTTTTGGACAGTAAGAGCAACAGGACTCACAGCCTGGACACTGGAATCGGAAGGGATGGTTTGGTAGGCCACAGGGAATCCGTTCCGCAAAAGGGGGACCGCTCCACGCCCATCTGCCATGCTGCTCAAGAAAAACTCTTATCTTTTTGGCATTTCCTTTCACACTGGTCAATCTGAAGGAAGGCTAACTCTGAAACAAGGGTGCATGAGTGAGGGTCAATGTGGAAAAGGGGCAAGAATGTTGGGCACGCCTTTAAGGGCTTATCCGGAGCGTGGGGAGCTTTCACGTTGCCAGACTATAGTTTTTTAATTCAACCCAGGGGCAGATGGTATAAGGCTTGGATTTTGGGGTTGTTGGTTTTTTTTAAAAAAAGGTCCTCTCTGGAAAAAGGCGGTGATCCTCTCTGGATCTTTCATTTGATAAAATCCACCTAACCATTCAGGGGTAGAGCCAGACCATAACGTTAAAGGAGGTCCTTATGCCTGCCCTAACCCAGTTCTTAAAAGTAAAGACGCCCACTGGGGAGGAAGCCATGTGTTTCCTGTCTCCCAAAGCAGGCTCACTGACCCCTCCCCAGGCAACTTACCGTCAGGGACCTGGTTGGGCTGCCTCCTCTTCTCGTAGATGAAGATGATAGTGACGAGGACCAGCACTTCAGCCACGATCCCCAGGAACGGCCACAGAGCTGCCAGGCGGCTGCGCACCCGTAGGCTAATCACGGCGTTCCCCTCGCCCTTCTCGTTGGTGCCGTTGCACATGTAGTCACCCGGGTCCTTCTCAAGGTGCAGGGAGAGGATGCGCAGCTCTGTCTTGTTACCATCAGACTTGATGAAGAACCGGTCCTCGGAGCCGTTGACGACAGGCTGCAGGAACAGGAGGAAAGGAAAAGGGTTCAAGTGTTATCTGCTAGGGCAGTGCTTCGAATCGAGGGGCCGGCAATGCAAGTTTCTTCAAAATCCACAATCCAGGGTGAATTCAGAGTTGCACTGGGTCTCATGGTGGCCATAAGAAACAATAACCCAAAAGTTATGGAAGTGGAAGAGTTACATATGTCGGCTAACAGGCCCTTTACACCATAGTAAACAGTCCTGACTGGGTCTGCCTCTAACAGAAGTTTGCTGCAGCTGAAATGTCTAGCAATACCCAAGTCCTGAAGGGCAGATTTGCTGACAGACTTCAACATTTTACCTTTGAAGATCAAGAGAGGGCAGGTTTGCCAAAGTTCCCCTTCAAGGATTAAGTTCTACCTTCGCAACCACTTAAGCATGTGAAATGTGCATTGTTTGACTGCAGATTTTATCAAGGGGGCTGGTTAAAGAATAAATACCTGATCCCCTTAAGCAGCGGTTTCCCAAATCTTTAAGCATCTTTGAATACCTTCCTTGAGGGGTCTTAAATAAAGCTATTGTGGAACAGGCAGTATTATAATCGAAGGTTGTAGTGTGTCTTAGACCTGCTGTCATGGTTAGTTCCTTGTTCCCCTCTCTCTGATCATATGCCCTTTAAAAAAATTAAATACAGTATTTTCATCTCTGACATTTGGTTATTTAACAGAATTTTCTCAAGGGGAGCTAGCTGCAAATTCCTGTGCTTGGGGTGGTCTGGCTTTTGAATGTCGAAGGATCGTTTATTGGATGCTTACAGCCTGCTGCCCAACTCCACAGAAGAGCTAGGTTATCCCATTCCATCCATGCCCATTAACAGATTTCCTAGCCTCCTTCCTGTTGCCGGTATGTAACTTTTGCAATCAGGTATGTTTTTCGCTACATTTGGGAGGTTAAAGCTACCACTGGTCACTGGGACCTGGAGTTTGGCACATGCCAGCCCCCGAGAAAAACAAAATCAAAACAGCTGGCTGATTTGCAAGAAAGTAATTTTGTGTGATGATGACTGGGAGATCCCGAAGGACACATGGGCACAACATTCACTTAATTATGTTTATTTAATTACATTTATAGTCTGCTCTGCCCAAGCCCATATTTATTTTCGCAAGTGCTTCTTCCACATTTATTTGTATGCCTTGGTCAATTTGCCTAGCTATGGGGAAACCTAAGGATGGAAAGTTATCAAACTTTAAGGGCCAGTTTGTGTGGTGGCTGCCTACTAGTCCCTACTGTTTGGTCATTGCTTCCACTGGTCAATTTTATATCAGGTGGCTCAAACTGCCTAGTGGACAATCATAATTTAGGGCTTGAGTTCTGTGGGTCTGTTTAAAAAGAGCAGGGTGGCATCTGCTAATAGAGCCACCTTGTATTCTCGTTTGGCCACAGCAACACCCTTAATTTTAGTGGGTTGGTTAATGAAGCATGCTAGGGACTAGGTCAAAAAGCATGGCTGATATGGTGGCAGCTCCTACCTCACCCCTGGCTTCAGTTGTATTAGTTCCGAGTACAGGCCACAATTTATTGCTTGGGTACACTTGAGGAAATGGGGTGGGGAAGATGGTTTATGCGTGGTGGGGGTCACAGAAAGCCCCACTGCACACGATCAAAGGCTTCCTCGGCATCAAAAGAAACCTGTGCAGACTGAGGCTGCCTTGCATTTGCTGCCGTGTTAATTAGAAGGCAGGGGTGGTCTGCTCCCCGTCGCTGCACAGAACCACTGAACTACTTTGCAGAGGGAGGAAAACAGAAGCAGTGGAGCATGGGGAATGGGGAAATGTTTGCTTTGGCCAAGAGACTCACCTGGGACACATCTCCGACCACCCTGAACCAACTCCACTGGGTAACAGGAGGGTACGAGGAGCTCTTGCAGACCAGCATGCCTGTGTCCCCCTCGTTCCCATGCTCTGTCTTCTTGTAGGCATACACGTGTGGCTTCACTGCAAATGAAGAAAGGGGCGCAAGCAAGATGAAGGACAGCTGGCAATGAGGTACCCGAGGAGAACAGGTGAGCAGCAAGGGCCAAGGATAGTTAGCTGCTTATGAAAGCGAGTTAAAAATTGGCATTAGCGATGAGGGAGGGGATTTTCAGCAAACTGGTCCTTCTCTCTCCCTGCCCCCTGACAAGCTATTGAGGTCACGAGTGACGTGCATTGGTGAAAACGTAGGCAGATGGGCTAGTAAAACCGATGCAAGCTAACTTTCACAGGTGCATTTGTAAGACTGCAGGGGCATCTGAAGCTGCCTCATCATACAGTCTGACTGCTGGTTCCTCTGATTCAGTGCTGCTTACATGGGCTGGCAGTGGCTTTGCCATGGATTCAGATGGGGGGGTGGTTGGGCTCCCCAGGCCACACATAGTATAATAATAATAATTTATTATTTATAACCTGCCCATCTGGCTGGGTTTCCCCAGCCACTCTAGGCGGCTTGCAACAAAAGATTAAAAATACATTGAAACACCAGTCATTAAATGCCATGGACTGAACCTGGGATCTTCTGTGTGCAAAGTAGGCAATCTACCATTTCCCCCACTTTCCTCCTTCCACCCACTCTTTCTTTCCATGTCTGCTTCCAGATAGCCCAGTCGACAGAGCATGACGCTCTTAATCTCAGGGTTGTGCGTTCGAGCCCGTCGGGTGAAAGATTCCTGCATTGCAGGGGGCTGGACCAGATGACCCTTGTCGTCCCTTCCAACTCTACAATTCACCAAGCGATGATCTTTAAGTAGTGATGTATGGAAGTGAGAGCTGGAACATAAAGAAGGCTGATCGCCAAAGAATGTATGCTTTTGAATTCTGGTGCTGGACGAGACTCTTTGAGAGTCCCATGGACTGCAAGAAGATCAAACCGATCCATTCTGAAGGAAATCAGCCCTGAGTGCTCACTGGAAGGACAGATCATGAAGCTGAGGCTCCAAGATTTTGGCCACCTCATGAGAAGACTCCCTGGAAAAGACCCTGATGTTGGGAAAGATGGAGGGCACAAGGAGAAGGGGACGACAGGACGAGATGGTTGGATAGTGTTCTCTAAGCTACCAGAATGAGTTTGACCAAATTGCGGGAGGCAGTGGAAGACAGGAGTGCTTGGCGTGCTCTGGTCCAGGGGGTCACAAAGAGTCGGACACGACAAAATGACTAAACAACAACAACAACAACAACATGATCTTTAAGACTGCAGTCCTGAGGGCAAGAACCGCCTTTACTACCACTGACCTTTGCAAGTTGCTCTGGGAGCGAGCGGGGTAGAACAGCTTCAGGCAAAAAGGGATTGCGTCCAACAAGCTCATGTTCAGAGCAGACCCACTGAAATGAAAGGGCCTGAGGAAGCTGCCTTATAGTGAATCACCCCACCGGTCTACCTAGTTCAGTAATGTCTACACTGATCGGCAGTGGTCCTCCAGGGTTGCAGGCAGAGATTCTCTCCCAGCCCTACTTGCAAATGCCCTTGGGGACTGAACATGGTACCTTTGGCATGCAAACCACTGAGCTAGTGTCCTTTCCTTAAGAGTAAAGGTAAAGGGATCCCTGACCATTAAGTCCAGTCGTGGCCGACTCTGGGGTTGCGGCGCTCATCTCGCTTTACTGGCCGAGGGAGCCGGCGTGCAGCTTCCGGGTCATGTGGCCAGCAGGACTAAGCCGCTTCTGGCGAACCAGAGCAGTGCACGGAAATGCCGTTTACCTTCCTGCCGCAGTGGTACCTATTTATCTACTTGCACTTGACATGCTTTCGAACTGCTAGGTTGGCAGGAGCTGGGACCGAGCAACGGGAGCTCACCCCGTGGCGCGGATTCGAACCGCTGACCTTCTGATCGGCAAGCCCTAGGCTCTGTGGTTTAACCCACAGTGCCACCCGCGTCCCTTCCCTAAGAGTAGCCGTGCCCATTAATCCCAGTGGGTCTACTCTGAGCAGAGGGAATGTTGGACACAACCCTCGGGCACCTCCATCAGTGCCCAAAGAACAAGGGCAAGCAGGTATGCTTCTTGACATGGACAGAAAGATGAGAGGACCAGGAGCAGGTCAACCACCAGCAAAAGTGCCGACGTAAAAGAAAAATCCTTTGGCCCATGTTTAGCAATGATACAACAGCAGCTGGGGAAGGTAGAAGCAGGACGAGTGTTCGGGTTCCCCCGCAGAGCTCACCTTTCACGTACACAGTTGCTTTGGAAAGGGGAACGGTTTCGAAGATGCAGTGGTACTCCCCTGAGGTGTCGTGGTCCACTTTTGGGATTCTGGAACGAATGAAACAAAGCACGTCAGCAGCAAGACAAGCAGAGCACACCCCAGTTATCGCTGCATGAGAACACAACCACCCTTATTTTTTCTGGGCCAAGATTGGGGTGGGATGTGGGGCTCGTCTGTGACCCTCAAGCCATATTCTGCTGTTTATGGAGTTTGCTACCACAAGATGTGGTCATGGCAGTTAGCTGAGATGTCTAAAAAGAATAAATAAAATGCCTACTAGCTGCTACTGGCTATAGCAGCTGAAAGGAACCTCCAGGTTTATTTGATTTATTAATTAGATTTATATACTGCCCTCCATCAAAAGATCTCAGGGCAATTCACAACATAAAAGCACATATAGTTAAAACAGAAACAGCAAAACAGTACCCCCACCACCACATGCAAAAGACTGCATAATATCAATCAGCCAAAGGCCTGTTTGAAGAGGAATGTTTTTGCCGGCGCCTAAAGATATATAAGGTAATGCCAGGCAGAGGTTATGGGGCAGTTTACCTCGGAATGCCAAGCTGCCAGAAGCAGCAGAAGGCTACTGACTTTTTATGCCCCAATGGGGGGCTTCTCAAAGGCACCCAGCAGCCCACGGTGGGAGAACAGGATGGTGAATTAGGACGGGGGCTGTTTTGCCCGATCCAGCAGGGCTCCTTTTGGGGTGGTTAAAAGGATCTTGCATCTTCAGAGGCAGTCTACCCCTGAGTACCAGATGCTGGGGCCAGTCAACAGGTGAGGGCAACAGGTGAGTGCCCTACTTCTGATCTCCCAAAGACATCTGGTTGGACACCACAAGGAAGAGGAGGCTGAAGTTGTCTTCTGTGAGCAGCAGACACGGCTGAAGAAGAAGTGTGTGTGGGAATCTCCACCCTCAGATGCGGGCGGGCAGTGGCTGGCAAAGGGCACTCTCTGTGGCTGCCCCTAACCTGTGCAAATCCCTCTCTGCAGCGGTGCACCTGGAACCTTCATTATATAACTTCTGGAGAATGCTGAAGATGCATCTCTTCACTTTGGCTTTTGTCACTTGGGGGGCTTATTTTCTTGGACCCACTTTAATTTTGCAGTTTTAAGTTGTTTTAAACTGTTTTTAATTAATTTTGTGTTTTGATGTTGCAACCAGCCTGGAACCATACGGTGAAGGGCAGGCAAGAGACAAGTAAAAACAACAACAATAACAGTGTTTGCCCTGCATTTTATTTTATTTTATTTTATTTTTGGTATGGGCAAGTCACAACTGTAGATTTATATCCCACCTTTTTCTCAGGGTGGTGTACATGGGTTCTTCCCCCCCTCCTCATTTAATTCTCACAACTACCCTGTAAGGTAGGTTGGCAGTGAGACTTGCTACCAAGGTCAGCCGGTGAGCTTTATGGCTGGGAGTGCGATTCAAACTCTGTTCTCCCAGGTCTTAACACTAACACTTAACACTCTAAACACTGTAACACAATGTAAAACCATTTAGCAGCAGGCTGTAGGTGGCAAATAGCAATCCTGTCATCTTGCCCAATTAAAACCCTGCGTCTGTGATCATGTCCCCAAGTGAAAAGGCAGGTCAAAGGGAGGGGGGGAAAGGCCTAATATATTTACTCCCGAGTAATCTCCCAGAAGAGGCTACAAGAGGAACTGAGTGCCATGTGAGGAGGGCAGGAGGCAAATTCCATTCAGAATCCACCCCCTCCGCCACCAAGAGATTGAGATTCCCACACACAAAAAAGGAGCTTTAAAAAAATCAGCGACACAGGGAGGGAAATCACTTGGCGGAGTGGGAAGAAAATATTTATCCACCTTGAGCCCAGAGAGGCAATGGCATCCCAGTTAGGAAGCTTGTTCAGACCGGATTTCATGGATTAGCCAGACCTCCCAAACACAAACACACACCATATCAATTATTTTGGAGATGGAAGGTTGCTGTGCTGTACAAAAGGGAGGCAGAACATTCTGGGGGTGGGTGGGTGAGAGATGACGACAACACAGGGGGGGGGGGAAGGCCCCCATTTTGTTAGATCTCTAGCAGGTCAGGAGCTCTTTCCTCTTCCCCCTGATTTCAACACATGCAGACAGAGAGCCCAGTCAGAGAATTGAGGGCATGAGAGAGGGTTGCTGGGGGCGGGGGAAAGATAAATACTTTTAATCCTCACTCAGCTCCCTGTTGCTATGGGGAGAGAGGCACGTCTGCTCGGCTGCTGCGTGGAAAAGGACGTGACTCCTCTCCCGCCAGATGGACTTCTGCCAGCGGGATGGGTGGGCAAGAGGGAGACTAAGGGGGGTGGACAGTCCACTCTGCCATTGCAGCGAGGGCTGGCATTTCAGTTCACAGGAACCCAGACGCCCAGGGCAATGAGGCTGTCATGGGGATGCTTCGAAGGCGGAAGGAAATGTGACATTGGACCTACAAGTGAAGGTTCGTTTTCCGCGGGGATCCTCTCCCCGAGATTCAGAATGCAAGGTGTACAATCTCTCACACACTCTTGCATGGCAGATCAGTCCGCACAAAGAGCATTCGGCACTCTGCCCTTCAGCATGAGAGGAAAAATGTATGAAGTGGTGTGTCGAAATGTAAGCACAGAATTTGACTGAATCAAGCTGTTCACAGAATCACAGAATTGGAAGGAACCACAAACGGTCGTCCAACCACCTGCAAAGCAGGAATTTCAACTGAAGCATCCATGATGGATGGCCATCCAATCTCTGCTTAAAGACCCCCAAGGAAGGAGAATCCACAACCTCCTGAGGGAGTCCATTCCACTGTCGCACAGCTCTTACTGTCAGATACTTCTTCCTGCTCTTTAGTCTGAATGTCATTTCTTGTAAAGGGGGAGGCAGATAGAAGGGAATGCTACCTGCCGTGGGTCTCACAAAGAGGCTGAATAACTGAGGTCACTTTCTCCGGGCCTCTGTATCTTGTTTACCAGGAAAAGGCATTGTGTTGGGGTTGTGTTTTTTTTTTAAGTTGGCGCGGTACACAAAGGCTCCACAGGGGGCCCAGCAGCAGCAAGCATTCCTACACTCTCCCCAATGGGTTTATTCCTTTGTTTCAACGAGGCTGCCTGACGGAACCTTTCATTGTTGAGCCAGTTATCAAACACCAGCAACGCACAGCCAGAATGCAGAGCTGTACACGCAGGTTAGGAGCAGGACTTGAGAGGAACAGCATGTGCCGCCTTCTCCTCTAGAGGAGGAGTTTATCATCTTCTCAAATATGGGGTCTCGCCCTACTCTCCCTTCCCCAGCAGTCCTGGCAAAATACTGCTAAACCACGTTACACTGCAATTAGAATTAGATAGAAGCCTTTTAAGGCTCAGGAAAAGGGGGCTGAATGTGGCCCTAAAGAATCTCCCAAGCCTACACCCATCACCCAGCCTGATTCATAACCTCTTCCAGTGTTTCTGACTGGCCGGAAAAGTGTCCTTAACTCTGAGTACAGTGGTACCTCGGGTTAAGTACTTAATTCGTTCCGGAGGTCTGTAATTAACCTGAAACTGTTCTTAACCTGAAGCACCACTTTAGCTAATGGGGCCTCCTGCTGCCGCCGTGCCGCCAGAGCCCGATTTCTGTTCTTATCCTGAAGCAAAGTTCTTAACCTGAAGCACTACTTCTAGGTTAGCGGAGTGTGTAACCTGAAGCGTATGTAACCCGAGGTACCACTGTACGACTTTCCCTTGCCTGGATGGAGGCCACAGAAAGGTGGTGTGCATAGAAACTAGTGTACTGTACACAGGTGTGCTACTCTGCCCACTTTTGACTCTCACCCACATCACCACTGGCTCGTGGCTGACAAAAAGGTTCCGTGCCCCTCCTTTAGGGGACCTAAGGGGACCCAAATGATCTTCAGGACAAGTGCAATAATAAAGCAAGGCAAACAGGGAACCCGCAGTTCTACTTGTTGACATTGCCACAGGGTATGTTTTACTGCTCTCAGGCAGAAAAGAACAACACCCAGCCTCTCTCACACGCTTTGCATTGAGCTTCAGAAGGGAAATAATACCTTCTATCCCCACCAGCTCAAGCAAATAGGGAGAGGCTGGGACTGGAGGACATCCCAAGAGGCTCCATTGGACGGCACCAAAACAAGAAGCTGTTCCCTTCCAGAGCTCCAATGGTTTGGCATTGATGAGGACAGCAGGGACTCCCCATGGCAAAGTCAAGGTCAAGCTGCAATCCTGTGCAATCACCGGAGAATATGCAATACTGAAAACAATGGGGCTTGCCTTCCAATGAAATTTATGGGCTGTGGCTCAAAAGCAGAGCACAGAAGGTGCTGGGTTCAAATCCTGACAGCATACCCAGGTGGGGCTGAGAGACAGACTGATCCTGGAGAGTTTTTGGCTGTCAGTGCAGACAATAAGGAGCTAGCTGCACCAATGACCTGATTTGGCAGATCCCTATGAGCATGAGGGGACGCGGGTGGTGCTGTGGGTTAAACCACAGAGCCTAGGGCTTGCTGATCAGAAGCTCAGTGGTTCGAATCCCCGTGATGGGGTGAGCTCCCGTTGCTCGGTCCCTGCTCCTGCCAACCTAGCAGTTCGAAAGCACGTCAAAGTGCAAGTAGATAAATAGGTACCACTCCGGCGGGAAGGTAAATGGCGTTTCCGTGCGCTGCTCTGGTTCGCCAGAAGCGGCTTAGTCCTGCTGGCCACATGACCCGGAAGCTGTACGCCGGCTCCCTTGGCCAATAAAATGAGATGAGCGCCGCAACCCCAGAGTCGGCCACGACTGGACCTAATGGTCAGGGGTTCCTTTACCTTTTATGAGCATGAGATGGTGTTGGGGGGAAAGAAGAAGAAGAAGAAGAGTTTAGATTTGATATCCCGCCTTTCACTCCCCTTCAGGAGTCTCAAAGCGGCTAACATTCTCCTTTCCCTTCCTCCCCCACAACAAACACTCTGTGAGGTGAGTGGGGCTGAGAGACTTATAAGAAGTATGACTGGCCCAAGGTCACCCAGCAGCTGCATGTGGAGGAGTGGAGACGCGAACCTGGTTCCCCAGATTACGAGACTACCGCTCTTAACCACTACACCACACTGGAAGAAAAACAAGGAGGTGACCCTGAAGTTTTGGTTTGCCTCAAGGAGCATTACTCAGAGTCAGCTCTCCATTTATGTGTGTTCAAGACACGCATATCACCGCAAACCTGGAAGTGGCACTTAAAGGAGCAAAAATGGCCCACCCAAAGGGTGTGAAAATGGCAAACTGGTGCAAAAACAGCGTCTAGCAATCCTACAAGCCTTTGCAAGTGCAATCCGAGGAGCGCTGCTGGTTTTTTCAAGGGTTTCCAGAGGGTCTCTGCAGGCTTTGTTAAAGGTGTTCCCAAAATATGCAATTTAATTTCAACGTGCAGTGACATGGAATGTAACCCCCACATAAACGGGGAGTTGCCTGTATTGATTCAAGGGTTGGACTATGACCCGAAAGACCCAGTTTCGAATCCCCACTCAGTTATGAAGCTCACTGGGTGACTTTGGGCCAGTCAGTCTCTCAGCCTGCTCTACAGCAGATTCCTTCTGGCAGCACCAATACATTCAAGCCCTTTCTTGTTTTTTTAAAAAGTTTGATGTTGCCCTTGGGTCCTGCCTGCAGGCTTCTCATAATAGACATCTGGTTGGCTCCTGTGAGAACAGGAGGCCGGACTAAATGGGCCATTGGCCTGATTCAGCCAGGCTTTGCTTACGTTCATAATAAACTTATCTGCTCTGTTCTGGATTTGGAAAGAATTGTTCACCCGGAGAGCTTGTTGGCATGGAAGAGAACATGCTAAACAGCGCCTCCCCCACCCGGCAAAAAATATATATTAAAAGATACCTACAGGTATGAGGTAAATTCTGGTGAAGTCTCATTCGTATCAAGCCTCGTTCCCCCCTTCTCCCAGTAGTGGCCTTTGACGGCGGTTGGCGGTTCGGTGATGTTGCAGGAAATGATCACATTCGAGCCGGCAGTCACCTCGGGAGTGGCTGAGATTTTGGCCCCTGCGTTGTCGATATTTTGGGGGAAAGAATGAAGGCAAGAGAGAAAGTTAGGAAGACGTAGCCAAGGCGGGCTGCTTTCAGAAGAGAAAGGGGTGGTGGGAGAGGACACCGTTGCAGCGTGGAGTTCAGTCACCTGTAAGCAAAGTGGCCTAGTTGTCACATAATGGCCTGTTTCTAGGCCTGCCCTTCCCCAAACTGCCTTCCAGAGGCATTGGACTACAACTCCCAGTGTGCTGGCTGGAGCTTACATGGGAGTTGTAGTCCAAAACATCTTGAGGGCAATGGCATGGGAAAGAACCTGGCCTAGGCTTTGCAAAGCACCTTAAAGCCTCAAGTATGTGCTTGTTGGTCATATGACTGTGAAAACGTGAAGTGAGCCCCAAATGGGTTCCAGCACAAGCCTCCAGAGAGCGTAGGAGGCAGAGGCAGCTTCCCATGCTCACGGCTATTCGTCCAGTCCGATGCCAATGATTGCTACCAAGATTGAGAAGTCAAGCAGCTTTACATGCACATCTGGCCAGTTTGCATCATTTCTTCTGGGTACAAAGTTTGTGGGTTTATGGGGGGTGTTAAAGAGGAATTAGGCATTCGGTACACACACTCCACCCACATCCAAACATCTTGGATTCTATCAAGCGACTCTCATGAAGTGAAGTTGCACCACCACGTGCTCTGCATGTGTAAAACAATTTACAAAATGGCCAGGTAGCAGCGACAGCAGCAGTCTGCTGAGATTCTTGAAGCTGGAGGTATGGCCAGGAGGCCGGCAACTTTGGTAGTAGCAGAACTGCCAGCTGCCATGCTCTGGGTCCCAGAGGGAGATTCCTACTCAGTACCTTTTGAAGTGCAGTGAAATGCTGGCAAGGAGGGCAACTTACAGCAACTGGTCTGCGCCCAAGGACCACTTGTTCTCAATGCCTGGGTCTCATGTGACAATTTTTACATTTTCTCTTTTCTGGGGAATTTGCTGCAGCCCGCGAGTAAACGGTCATGCCCTATACTGGCCTGAGAAGGAGCCATTTCATATGAAACCACCTGGAAAGAGGGACCCAAACCTTTGAAGAGGTAACAGTTAAAACAGGCTGCTTTGCCCCCACCTAAAACGAATCCCTGGAGCACCCAGATAAGCATATCCAGGCCAGTTATTGTGGCCAAGCAGAGTATCAATTTCAAGGCAAATTTTGCAGATATTTCCCCACCCTCAATAACCAAACAGATACTTGATAAATCCCCCACCCAGCCCTTTCTCCTCAGAGACAGGGGACTCTACAGGGCTGAAAGACACTCTTGAGATTTGCCTCCGAAAAGGATATTTCCATTTACCAAGAAACATTATTATTATTTATTTTTCCAGCCATCAATAAAGCAGTGGTTTTCAAAGTTTGACATTTAGAAAGTTGTTTCTTGCACTGAGCTCCGGACACCTGGCAGGGAATTCCCAGTCCACCACAGAAGCAACTGGTGGGTGAGAAAGATAAATATGGAGCTACCGATAAAACCTCTGTGGGACTTGCAGTAAATCGGCAAAGCGATTCCTGACTCCCAGTTGCAAACTGAATTCTTCCCTGCCCTAAACCATGCTGCTGATAGGAAGGAAATTCAGGGTAAAGACTGCTGCGTGGAAGGACTCTGAGCTCAGTTTGGTTCTGAATTTCAAAACAAATCTCTGGACTCCAAAATTCTTACATTTAAATGTTGTATCCAACCCTGTCATACTCGGAGTGAACCCACTGAAATTAATGGCCCTAAGTCAGGTATGTCCCTTAACTGGAGTTGGATACAACCCTAAACATATGGCCCCATGTTCTCTTGGCTGGTGAATCTTGGGAGTGCCAATAAAAATTAGAAGCAGATCCCACAAGCCTGATGCCTGCGTACAGTTCATAAGTGGCCCTTGGCCAGCTCTGCTGGGTCAGCCCATAAGAGTCGAGTGTGCACTTTAAACCCATTCCTGAGCATCACAGGGAAAGAAAGCTTTAATATCTGTCTTTATGGATCTTCTCATTAAGGAACCCCCAATAAGCTTCCAAGGAACACAGGAAGCTTCTTTCTACTGAGTCAGGTTCTCCATGGTTTCAGGCAGGGTGACATTCCCTACCTGGAGATGCTGCCACTGGGGAACGAACCTGGGATTTTTTCCCTGCATGCAAAGCAGATGCACTGCCAAATGGAATTTGAAAACCACTGACAAGAGGGCAACGAGCAAGGGAGGACACTTCCTTTTGTAAAAGCATCCAAACTGAGGCACGTCAAATTCAATTGCTCAGCGTTTCGGCCACGAAAGACAAGCCGTTTCTCTTGTCGCTGGACAATCTGGACTTTCAGCTCAGCGTAGGGTGGGGGGAAGGGGGAGGAGAGAAAGGGGGAGGAGGCAAATAAGCTAAAACTGGTTGTTCCACAGCACAAACAACTAGACGCGTTCCCCCACCCAGTGCTGCACAGAGACAGTGCTACGGCCATTTCAAAAACGGTTGCAATTACACCACAAGCAAAACAAGACCGTTTCAATCCAGCTCGCGACAACCAGTAACCTCTAGCAAGGTTGGAAAGCATATCAAAAGCAGGGGTGGGAGGAAGCAAGACTGTGTGTGTATACAGAAAGAGAGATACGCAGGAAAACGAGATGAAAAGAGGTTGGTTTGCTGGAGGCCGCCAAAAGCAGAGCCACTTTCAATTTTGCATTTCGGAAAAGGAACACCAAGGAGGACAATGTTGGCATTCAGGGTCCAGAAGCCAGAGGGATCAGTCAGGACGGTGTGGTTCTGATGGGGAAGTTACAACCCTTTTTGATCAGGGCCACTCGCCAGGAGTGAAGGGGAAGATGCGGGTAGGGGGGGGTCTCTTGGATTTCTACACAGTTAGGGCGGGAAGGTGCAGCAAGGTTCTCGGGAAGCCATGGGACATGGGTGAAAGGGGTGGCGGGGGCGTGGCAAAGCTAAGAGACACGGCTGTGTCCAAGCAAATGCCAACGCCAAGGGGGATTGGGGCAACTGCCACTCACGCTCAATGACAATCACGTTCGCCTGGGAACGGATCCACTTGACTTTGGGGCTCTTCGACAAGTGGTTGCGGTCGGGGTCGTTGCTGGCCCGGCACTCGTAGGTGCCCGAGTCGTTGAGCGTGAGGTTGGTGACGTAGATGGCGCTGGTGGAGTGCTGCTTGTAGGTGGCGTTGATTTTGACCCGGTCCTGCCAGGCCCCGTCCCACAGCTGGACGGCTGTCTCGTTGGGCTCGGCCCCCTCGAACCACCACTGGATCTCGGGGATGGGGCTACCGACAGCCTCGCAGTGCAGCTCCACACTGTCCTCCGTCAGCTTCTTTTGAGACAGCGGCGACTTTATGAAGCCAGCTGCGAGGCGGGGTGGGGGGGAGAGGCATTAGTGCAAAGTATTATTAGTGCAAGAGAGAAAGACAGTGAAGAGAAAGAGATCAGCAGCCTTTAAAAAATATATTAAAGAAGAACCAGCATGGTTACTCACATCGGCACACTCCACAAATGGCCACTTCTATTACATGTAGCTGAAAATACTGAGTAAGAAGAATCTTTGTCCTCCCCTCAAAAGACAGGGGTGGGCGAGTGGCTCTTGCACTCTCCGTTAGTAAGTCCCATTCTTCTTTTTCAAGCTTTGCCTGCACAAGAACTTGGCGCCTACAAGGAATTGGTGGAAAACTAGACAGGAAGCACCACAAGACTGGTTTTACACTTCTTGCTGTTTAACTTGCATCCCACTGAGACTACTGCGGCAAGTCCTGGGTACGTTGGGTCACTGTGTCCTTATCAGAAGGCTTGACAAGCTTCCGAGGCAGTTACACGGCCTTCAACAGAAAGGCCACATGCAGAACTTTGGACGTGCTCAGAAGAAGGTGAACAAGCCAACAGCATCACAGCTCCAGATGCTTTACTTATGTAGCAACACAGCAATCAGAGGCTCTCAATCCATACCCATCCCAAACAAAAAAGGCTGGAAAATGGACTGTTTTGTTATTTATTTGCTCTTTATATCCCACCTTTCCTCCAAGGAGCTCAAGGTACATGGCTTTCCCCCTCTCCATATTATTGTTGCAACATCCTGTAGGTTAGGCTGAAGGGCAGTGACTGGCCCCAGGTCACCCGCATGGCTGAGTGTAGATTTGAATGCCAAACGTGTTAGAAACTGAGATATGAAAGACAGGCGCTAAATGGCACTTTAAACCTAGGTTGTGGGCGCAACAATGGAATGTCTAGGCACTTTTTTATAAAAAGAATAAAAAGCTGAAAATGAATGAACTGCAGCTAAAATATCGTCTTCATTTTTTCACACAGTCTAGTCCTTCCCCTGCCCAACCCCTAATATTCTTAAGAGGGTCTCTTCTCCGGTCTTCAGAGAGTAGCTGGAAGTGGGGAGGCAGAAAAGGTTCTCCTTCCACTCTGCAGTTTTATTCTGAAATCTTAGGCACAGTAATGCACCCAGAGTTCAGAAACTGCTTTCGCAAAATGCGCCTAGAACAAGGGAGTTTCAAACACTGAATGCTAGTCCCTCAGGTCCAAATCCATCACCTTTAACCACTGCACCACATTAGCTATATAATCAAAGCACAGACAGCTTTATCTCAACCAATACATTCTTGTCTTTCTCGTGCGATAGATGAAGGAGGGGAGTAATTCCTCTTCAGAACTAGCATGAAAGTTGGCACACTATTCTGAAAATCATGGGCCCTAGGCAAGACTGCCGAGAATGGAAACGGAATACTGCACCCACAATGTACTGTGGAAGTCACAGGGCACAGGTTAGGGCCTTGGTAGATTCTTTGATAACCCCAACCCTGGGCTCTATCATCAGAAGATAAACTAAAAAGTACAGGGTTAAGTACAGAGATTTCCACAGGGCACCTAAACATGCGGATCACAAGCTTGTGAGCCTTTACTATAAACAGTAGCCAAAACTTGCCCAAGTTTTGCATTTAGCCAAGAAAGCTAGTATGTTCCACACTCATGGTGTTTAGTTGTCTTTGCAGATTTTATTTTTGGACTGATTTTCACGGAGCAAGGCAACTTACAGCAAAAGGGTTTACAGAGAAGCCCTTAGCTTAGACATCTTCACTCCAGTCCTATGCTCACCTAAACTCAGAATCACGCAAAGCACCCATGTAAGCAATGGCTCCCCAATTTTCTTCCATTTTGGGGGCAGCGGGATGAGCAGTTCAGGTGGGGATGCTCAGGTAGGTGTATTTTCATAATAATAATAGTAATAATAATAATAATAATGATGATGATGGACAGTTGCTTAAGCCCTCACTTGCGAAAGACTTCCCACTTGCTTTTCAGTTCCAGCTACTGGTCTTCATTCCCTTCAGCAGAGAAGAGGGAAACAGGGGGACAAGTCATTAAGAAGGAAGCTAATGGCGGGGGACATTTGAGGCACCGTGCACGTCAACTGCCACACAGTTTAGCAATTGTCGCAAGAGTGTTTGCCCTTGCAGCAAACCCAGATGATTCCTTCCAGGCATGCCAAGGGACAAAGACAAGCCCTGCTATGCAATTATCAGAAGGCAGAGCACTCCTCCGACAGGGAGCACGTCCTCACATGCCCCACGCTGAGGTGAACAAGCATGCCTTTGCCTCCTTCGCCAACGGTCAGTTGACCCAAATTGGGTAACTCTTGGCCCGCAGCCTGGCCATAGTGACTGGGTGCCATTGTGTGGGGTTCCGATTCCCTCTGCAGCAAGCCAGCTCCCTCTGCGCTACTAGCCAACCTGCCGTGCTGCGTCAGACCACAGTGTGCTCGCTCACTCGGCTGCGCAATCGGATACAATATGCCCTCGCAAAATCTTAGCGTAAGCCAAAAATTAAAAACCGAGCAAAAAATCAAAGTTCAGAGAATCTTTTCTTTAACCAAGGCTGGATAAAGCTTGCCCAAAGCAAATAGCATTAAGAACCAGAACGATGCCTAGGCTACCCAGGGGAAGACAGAGTGATCAGAACATTGAAGCATCAAGAGGGACTAGATTTAGAATGCATGTAGGGACATGCGAAGGGACGCGGGTGGCGCTGTGGGTTAAACCACAGAGCCTAGGACTTGCCGATCAGAAGGTCAGCGGTTCGAATCCCCGCGATGGGGTGAGCTCCCGTTGCTCGGTCCCTGCTCCTGCCAACCTAGCAGTTCGAAAGCACGCCAAAGTGCAAGTAGATAAATAGGTACCACTCCGGCGGGAAGGTAAACGGCGTTTCCGTGCGCTGCTCTGGTTCGCCAGAAGCAGCTTAGTCCTGCTGGCCACATGACCGGAAGCTGTACGCCGGCTCCGTCAGCCAATAAATCGAGATGAGCGCCGCAACCCCCGAGTCAGCCACGACTGGAACTAATGGTTAGGGGTCCCATTACCACTAGGGACATGCGAAGCTGCCTTATACAGAGTCATAAGGACCTTCTGCCTAAGAATGTAAAAAGAGCCAGTGCCCATCTAGATCAGCATCCTGTTCTCACAGTGGCCTACCAGATGCCTGTGGGAACATCACAAGCAGGATCCGACCATAAAAGCACTCTCCCCTCCTGCAGTTTCCAACAATTCTAGTATAAACTCTAGCTACTTGTCAAGACAATATGCCTTTTAATTGTTTTAGCAACCAGTCAGAGTAGGCAAGCCTGTTCAGGGAAACTGTTGCAAAACGGGAAACCTTATTCATGCCTAGGGTTTTAAAGGTCTGCTTTCTTCAGAAACAAGACACTGTCAGGGCCAGAAGCCCTGCTTGCACATCCATAGCAGGCCTCTTTAGAGAAGGTAGGGAAATCTCAAGACAGGGGTCAAATGTGGGCCTCCAGGCTCCTCTGTTTGACCCTGGGAACTTTTCCTAGGTCTCACTGGTCCTCCCTGACACACTCCTTAACTGTCTTTGCTTAGCTCGAATATGTCCTTGAACTTCCTGTCTGGATGGAGGACAGAGTGTGTGTGTGTATTGAAAACAGCTGACTGTACCAAAGGTTTAAATCTGCACACCTCTGGCTTAACGTACCATGGGCATGCCCTATGTGACCTCAACCAAAGAATCTAAGGTTAAACTCTTCCCAGTACATCATATGCAAGAAAACTGAGTCATCACATCCAAGAGAACTTTAACTGGCTTTAGTCACGGGAACAACTTGCGTCACATCCTGTACAGTCAGGGCTGGCTATGTTGCCTGGCTTGCTACCCGGAAAAACCCATGTGAGGGGCGAGGAACCTGTGGCCCTTGAGACATCACTCGACTCCAAGCCCCATGTCAGGGAACTGCCATCAGTGCCGGAGGGAGAGAGCAAAATCCAAGGGGATTCCGGAGAGCGTCCCGGGAGTGGGAGAGGCAGCCCATCTTCTGGGGAAGAGAATCAGCGTAGCACCAGTGGAGAAGGGGGGCAGATGGGGGAAGCGGCGAGGCAGTCCCATGACTCCTTGCCTGGGACCAGCGGGGAGAGTAGGGGTCCTCCGCTGCCCACGCCCTCCTTGTGCAGAAGGCTTTCGCGCAGAGAGAGTAGGAGGAGACTAGGCGTCAAAGAGCTTCTTTGCTGGAAGAAGTTTAAGAAACGCTCACTGACGGATTCTGCCAGCGATTGAGACAGCCATGGGTGAGTGGCTGTCCGGACAGAAAAGGTTCACTCAGGCAACCCAGCCAGGTGTTTGCCCCGGCTTACGCACGAGCAACCCCTAGAACCATTACACCCCATCACCCCCAGCCACAATGGTCAGGAACAAGGAGAGTTCAGCAAGATCTGGAGGGTCACTGGCTCCCCACCCCATGTCCTGCCCTGCAAGCTTCCCAGAGATGTCTAAAGGAGCTTCTCTGCCTACAACAGGAATGGGGAAGTCCAGCTCTGAGGAAGAGAAATTGGTCCTCCAGGCCTCTCCTTGTGTATTTTTTGAATCTGTCTGCAACCTATGGAAGTGCTTCTTACCTGCAAATGGAGGATAGAGATGTATGTCTATCCCTGTATCTCTCAGGCTTTTCCCCCACCCAGCTTGGATGGGGAGACAAATGTGGCCACCAGCCTGGAAATCCGGCCCCCCCCGCCTTACAGAGAGCTTACAAAATGCAGCGGTAAACAAATTAGCGGGAAATTATATACACAAGAATCCACACATTTTTAAAAAATGTCCCCAAATCCGGCCTCCAAACTGGAACAAGGAAATGAAGCGCTGCAGGCAACCCTGCAGGGCTGAACTCAGTTCATTGGTCTCTGAGTCTTGTTCACCCATCAAAACACTTTAAAAAAAGGAAAAGGAAAAAGAGCACTAACTGCTGGCTGAGGCACTTGGGAAGGAGTTTGTGCCAACAGCCAAGGAACTGCCATGCTCTGGGGGCAGAGGAGGAGAGAGATGGTCATGACAGGATTTTTTCTGTTCCTTGCATAATATGATAACTCAGGAAGTTGTGTGGTGGTAAATTCAGGGCAGGAACAGTAAGAACCTACTTTACACAATACACAATTTATGGCTTTTACTGGTTTTGGCTCTGTGCTTTTCAGAGACGTGACTGAAAAGTGTATATATATTTTTAAATAAAGTGGGGTAGAAATTAAGGAAACAAATAGATGACTTGGGGCAGCACATACTTCCTTAGTCAAAGGTATATATTCAAGAAAGTTTATGGGAGGGGCCCTCTGTGAAGTACATTGGGCTGTACATTAGTCATGCTCTGAGTAGACCCACTGAAATTTAGAGGACAAGGCTTAAAATTAATGGATATACGCCATCCATGCACTTTATTTTCAATGAGTCGATTCTGAGCAGAATTCTGCTAGATCCACCCCATTACAAACAATTCCAGGTAGGTTTTAAGCCTTAACTGGTGTTCAGCTTTCAAAACCGAAGAGACTTTGGTCACAGTAAAATCAAAGCATTATGTCACTCCAGGTTTATGAAGCTTATTTAAATTTATGGAGTTGGCTTTATTCTTATAAACCACACCGGGAACAGCTTTGCGGCTGAAGGACAGCGGAGAAATGTGTTTGATAAATAAAAGCAGTTAAAAGGTTAGAAGGGCCAGCCCTCTTGCAAAGGTCGGGCTGGCTAGACAACCCAGCTGGTGTCTACTCCCAGTAAACCCCAGAATTCACATGGGAGGTGGGTTCTAAAATAGCGCACGCTGCTCTGGGCTACAAAACATATTAAAAACAAGGTACGGCAAAATGGATCGCTAGCCAACAAGGAAAGGTGCAGAGAGATTAGGCATGTGGGCTGGTTAGCTGATGATGGACAGACTAGCACATCCCAATAAGGACTAGCTTGCTTTGCCTTATGCAATTGGAACAAGTCACTTTTCCAGTGAGAAGGAGGGTAGGAGGGAGAATGACGGCCAGCCTCAACCACAATGAGTCTCACTCTGGGACCTTCTGCATGCAAAGCAGGTGTTCTACTGCTGATCTGCCACACTTTGAGCTATGACCCTTTTTAACCTTAGTGGGAGCATTCACAGGCACCCTATCCTACGGGAGCTGAACCACACAATTTTCCTCACCAATAAAAAATGTGGCATCCTGCTCCTATACAGGATTTACTGCTTGTCGGAGCAAGCTTGTTTGACTGTGGAGGTGCACAGCTCGCAGGCCAACATTAACTGGAATAGGGAAAACTTGCCAGGCTCTCAGGGAAGTAAGTCCTCGATGAGGATGGAGGAAACAGGCTGGATCAAGAGAGGGGCAGAACGATGTCCCAAGAGAGAGAAGGATACTGCCTAGCCTCCTGTCCCGCTCAGCTGTTTATGCCCAGCTCTTATATACCCTGCCCCAAAGAAAAACACATGATCTGCTCATTCGCTTCAAAGTAAAGTCACCTTCAACTAAAAACAGACACTCCCCACTCTGAGCTGAGGGGAGGAGCTGGAGAACCGCAGGGGATCTCTGGCACAAATGTAGCCATCCAGCCACTGGCTATGGCCAAGTGCCAGGTCCTTTCACAGATATTTTGACCCCTTTTCCCAGACCACTCCCCCCCCCCCCAGTTACAGCTACTAGGCTTCTTTGGACAAAGCAGAGCACATCCTAAGCCTCCATGCAATTTTCTGTGTGCCTGGGACTGGATGCTCATCTCATCTTTTAGGCTAGGGGTTGGGGAACTGTTTCCAGCATTAGGGGCCGCATTCTCTTCTGGGCAATCTTTCAAGGGCCACATGTCAGTAGTGGGCAGTGCAAAAAGTGTGGAGCAGTGAGTGGCAATTTTCTCATTTGGACCATAGGCTGGTTTCTACACACACACACACACACACACACACACACACACACACTTTCTTGCTTTCCCAATTCTGAAGAGCAAGAGCCAGTTTCAGAGTTCAAGGACACATTCCAGTCAGGCAAATGCAGTCAAGGAGTGTGGGAAACAGGGCTGGTGAAGTTTGCAACCTAGGGAGAGTTCTGAGGGCCAGACAAGATTGCTTGGAGGGCTGCATTTGGCCCCCAGGCTCCCCATCTCTAATTTTAGGCATCCGGACTAAACTACACTCTTTGGCACTCTTAGAACTGAGACAACATCAAAAACAGATTAAGTTGAAGAAACCTGGCAGGTGACTTTTAACCTCATTTCTAAATACGCCCAACCTCATAAAAAGAGATGATTTGGGGAAGAATTCATTTTTTCAACAGGGCAGAGGCTTCATGTTGAAACTAACCCAAGGCTGCAAATCTAAAATGGCAGCTCTCCAACAAATGTAAGCATCAATTTTTTTAAAAAAAGCTATTGTTTTGCCACTCAGAACCTGCCCTCTGAACCAGCTGCTTGCCCTACAAGGAGACCATGCTAAGACAGAATGAAGATTCAGAGGCAAAAGGTACAGATCTGTCCAGAGATGGGGATAATTGTGAAACAAGTGAAAAACTTGTGCTTTCTGCAAGCAGTGCACAATGGCATTTGGAAGTATAAACTGTCTGAAAGGGGCCTGAGAGATGGTGAGTGGACAAATCCAAGGCATAATATCCCATAGCTGCACTTGGAAAGTGCCTAGATAGCAAGCAGGAGGACAGCTGGACCAGCTCAGATAAGCTCTTACCCAGATAAAACCCACACAAACCTACCCCAAGAGATGCATTTAAGAAACTAACCATAAACATCAACTCCCCCCTCCCTCCGATGTGCCCACACAATTAAACTCTGGAAGTCACTACCACAAGGAGTGATGGTTACCAACTTGAAAAAGAGGATTACACAGATTCATGCAGTATAAGGCTATTAACAGCTACCGGCCACAATGGCTACATTCTCTCCTCCACTGTCTGAGGAAAGCCAGTTGCAGGAAATTGCAAGTGGGAAAAGCACTACCGCACTCAGGTCCAGTTTGCAGGCTTGCCAAAGTTGGCCACTGTGAGGGTAGGATTCTGGAACGGGTGTGCTTTGGCCTGATCCAGCAACCAGGCTCTTTTGATGTTCTTAGATGTATATGGCTGATACCTCTGCAAAGCAAATCTAGACAGGAGAAGAGAGGGCACTCCCTTGTTTCCCAGGCTGCTTTCACCTCCCACGGAGAATTCCTTGAGCTTCAAAGGGTGTTTCTAAGTTAAGATAGGACACAACAGGCTGTCAAACGTATCTAATAACAAAAACTCTCTTGTGTGCTTCACAGCAGGATAAGGAACCCCTGCAGCCCTTCAGAAGTTGTTGTGACTCCCAGTTCCCATTATTCCTGACTGGTTATGGTGGCAGGAATGGGCTCTCACCAACTTGGACAGCTTTCAAAAAGGATTAGACAAATCCACGGAGGAGAAGGCTATTTGTCATGTTCTTCCACTGTCAAAGGCAGTAAGTGCCTCTGAATACCAGTTACTGGGGATCACAGGCTAGCCATCCCTGGGTGAGGATCTGCTTCCAGATGCATTCGATGGTACTGGGGTGGATGAAACGATATTGCCCAACAGTTGCGGCATCTCTGAAGCATTTACAACAGCTTGTAAGCAAGCGAAGAGTCTTGGGAATTACACAGATGAAGAGAGCCGCTAAAGGGTTTGGTGTTTCACAAGACGGTTGCTCTCAGCCTCCCATTTTGTAGCTCAAGCCTGCTAGAGGTTTTTTCCCCACTAAAAGCCGGAAGGGTAACTATAAAGCTGCACCACATGATCGCTCTCAGAGCAGCTAAGCTAATGATCTGCTCAAAGATTGGTCTGATCAAACAATAATCTGCGGGCTTTTACACAAAGGTCAGCATCTGCAGCAAGAGTTATCCCACTAAATGATTATAGTCTCAATGTTTTTCAGCAGCCTTCACCAAACTGGTGCCCCCAAGATGTCTTAAACTGCAACGTTGGCTGAGGCTGATTTGGAGGGCACCGGGGTTTGGTGAAGGCTCCTGTAGACTAAGATAGCAGTGCAATTCAAGGAACCCGTTTGTCTGGGCCTTGAATGTCGGTAGACAAAATCATGCCTGGCTGAGGGGGGAAATCCAGTTTCAACTGCCCATTTGCAAAATGGGAAGAACAATTACCTTCCTTACAGGGTTGCTGTATGAATTATGTCCAAGTGCTCTGTAACCAAGCAGGGCTGTGGTTTCCACTTCTCTGAAAAATAAGCAAGGAATTCAGACACACCTTGCCCTAAGTTTGCAAGGTCTTCTGCAACCTCACCCCACTAAGACCATACATTTGAGCCTAATTCATGCTGTGGGTTGTGCGAGTGCCCACCTTGTCTGGAATCCTGCTTCCCATAGAAACCACGTAGATACCTCTGGGGAGCCTACTCTCAGGGCAAAAAAAGGAAGACTGCCTCCAAATCCAGAGGACTGCTATAGCCACTATGGCAAAGAGCCATTCATACAACCATGAATTTGTCAAACACTTTTCAGAAGCTACTGAAACCAGAGGTCATCATCCAGCCCATCACCCCTAATGTAGAGTGTTCTAAGCCCTTTCAAGCCTATGGAACAGGGCAGCAAAGATATTTAAATCCACACAAATGGCTGATCTGTTTACCACCCTGTTGTTGAAAGATGACTAGGTGAACTCCAGAGCCCAGAATGCCTTCACGGGCTTAGAAATGCCAGCCAGACTCACAGGGATATTCTGGGAAACCACTTGCAACAAAAGCAGCATTACTAAGGGGGCCAGGAGAAGGAGACGTAACAAGGCCGGCTTGCCAGCGTGAGGCAGGTTCTAAGCCTCTCACGGGAAAGGTCTTTAAGCGGAGAGCTAATTAAATACCAGGCTACATTTGCAAACACTTAATCTTGAGGAGCTTCATTGGGTATTAATGCTAAGCTTTAATAGGCCCTAATAAAAATTAACAAGCAACAGAATTAAGACCATACAAACAAAACCCTGTAGGGTGGTGGTCTGAATGCCAGCTGATGAACCCAAATCTGTTTTTTAAAGATGGTACAGCCTGAGGACAGGATGGAGACACAGATCTAGACCACCACCCTTTTCCCACTCCTGCAGAGCCTTGAAGTACAATGCCTTCTGTCCCCACCTGCTGCTTTCAGGCCAAAAGAATCAACAACATTGCAGGAGGCTGCAGCGTATTTGTACTGCAGGACCCCCGCCCCACACTGCCAACTGCTTCAAAGGAAGCTGAAAACAAATAAAGATGTCATGAAATACGAGTACACGTTTTGTTCAGGGTAAAAAACAAATGGCGGTTTCTAATTCAAATGGCGGTTTCCAATTCAAAAACCATGCCAGTTTAGCTTTGATGTAGCAGCATTAGGTCGAGGGACGCGGGTGGCGCTGTGGGTAAAACCTCAGTGCCTAGGCCTTGCCGATCGCATGGTCGGCGGTTCGAATCCCCGCGGCGGGGTGAGCTCCAGACTTTCGGTCCCAGCTCCTGCCCACCTAGCAGTTCAAAAGCACCCCCAAGTGCAAGTAGATAAATAGGTACCGCTTTATAGCGGGAAGGTAAACGGCGTTTCCGTGCGCTGTGCTGGTGCTGGCTCGCCAGAGCAGCTTCGTCACGCTGGCCACGTGACCCAGAAGTGTCTCTGGACAGCGCTGGCCCCTGGCCTCTTAGTGAGATGGGCGCACAACCCTAGAGTCGGACACGACTGGCCCGTACGGGCAGGGGTACCTTTACTAGCAGCATTAGGTAAAAGTCAGGAGCAGGGAACCTTGGGCCAGGGGCGGATCATGGCCCTGCAGACCTGTCTTCCTGGCCCTTGGAACTCCCCCAGGTCACACACACCCTGTGGCTCTGCTTTGCAGCAGGCTGGAATAGGTCCTTGAACTCTGATGCCTTTCACCTGCCCAGGTGGAAGATAGAGGCGTGTGTGTCGAAACTAACCTAACCTAAACCTACTTCTGCCTCTGGTCCTGCCTGTTGCTGTGTTAACCACAAAGGTTGTCCAGAAGGAAAAGTGGCCCCAGGCTGAAAAAGGTTTCTCACTCCTGGACTAGGTGTTTAGATGACGTGGTGGATGCATTTACAGTTCCAGAGAGAAAAACCAGATGCAAACATTCTTTCACTCAAACATGTGGCCCTCCAGATATTATTGAACTATACTCCCATAATTCCTGGTCACTGGCCATGTAGTCCAATGACTGAGCCAACCCTCCACTAGAAGATAAAACAATTTTACGTCTTGTTTTAAAGACTGAGGGTCAGTTTCCCCTTTACAACTGGTCAAGATGATGAAAACCCTTCTGTCTAGCACGTACACTGTTAGCAATTTGTTTTATTTTACTATTTGGAAATAAGAAGCGGGGGAAATCCTGAACAAGCTGGGAGGAGGAAGAAAGAGGAACAGGCTCAACTGCACGTTTGCATTAAAAATAGAAAACCTTAATTATAGAGCTTTAAAAGGGGTGTTTCCATCAATGAACAATCTCACAGCCCCAGAAAAGAAGGGCAGGGGTGAGAAACCAGTTAATCTGCAAAGCAGCAAAGAGTTTCACTAAAGAAAATGATACTGTTCTCAAACCTTCCTCCAGATTTATATTTTGGGAGGGTGGGGAAACAAAAAAATTATTGTCAATGAACAAAGGGCATGATCCTGGGAATGTTCCTTTTCTCAATCTCAGTAGGATTAAGACACCCACACATAGCTATGCTTGGGCATAACTCGACCCAACCTTAGAAATGATAAGGGTTTTAAGACAATGCACCATACAGTCTCTTTCCTACCCTGCCCCAGCTTTTTCATCCCCCTCACAGCTGAAGCCCACAATAAAATCCAATCTCAGTCTTCAGGGCATCTCCATCCTCCTTAATATGGGAACCATTTCCTCCCATCCCTCCTTGTGAAGAGCAACTTGTCTTCCCACAACCCAGCAGGCATGTCCTGGCAATCCCCCGCTGTAGATAGGACACAGAATCCACACAAGCTATTCAAAGAAAATGGGCCCTCACAAATTAAGCACCTTACTCCCAGTGATGTGGGAGGAAGTATTTCATTCTAGCCATAAAGAATTCTCCTTTGTAATGGATTCCAACTGCAAATACAAAGGTGTTTCTTTTTAAACTTTGCTTACTGAATAAGAATCAAATGAACACAATGAATTAGATTGCTCTCTAGGGCCGGGGCTGCCATGGTGGCACCTGTGGGACAGGCAGCCACAGGCTTCCTACACCCTTTGCTTTAAAGTTGTTTTAATGGTGTATTTTACACTGCTGCCCCCACCCTGGGACCTTCTGGTGAGCATTAAAACTAGTAATAATAATACAGCTAGCAGCCCCTGCTTTGGGGCACCAGAAAATTTCCCAAGAAGTTACTTGCTTCTACCTGTTCCCACGCTTACAAGCAGCGAAGTAGGATGGGCAGACCAAAAAGTCACCTTATATGGGCATCTTACTGCACTGCATGAAGACTGAGTTGGGGAACATATGGCAATTCCATACACACATACCCTGTATTCCTTCTTCCAACAGAGAAGCCCACTCCCATCTCTCTTCTGCAAGGGGAGGTCAGCCCCAATTAAGAAATGAATTACATATTGTTCAGCCATTGCTCATTACAGGGATGCTAATGGAAGCTCCTCCAAGGAGGCCTAGTTCTCTTGTAGATGTCCCTGTTTTTCCCCCCTCTCTGGGCATAGGCTCCCAGAGCCATACTAAGGGCAGACCCACTGAAATTAATGGACCTACCTAATTTAGTGATACATAAGGAACAGGGAATAAGAGTAGAAGTCTGAGATGGCTTTTCCTGCTAACAACGGACTGATAGCTTTGCCTTTCTTTAAAAGATTTATCCTCTCCAAAGGCACCTGTAACAAGGGTTTAGAATTATACACATTATATCCAATTGCAAATACTGAAGCCAGTTCACAGCTTTACCATAACTGAGACAGTGGAGAGAGAGAGAGAGATAAAAGAGGAGCATCTGAACATTAATGGCATAGTTTAAAAACAACACATACATTCCTTCAGGCATACCTAGAATACAACTTTGTGCCACACTTATAGGGAACCTCAGGTTCAGCTGCTGAATGTGGCTCCAGGTGTCTCTTATCTGCTCGTTGGGATTCTCCACAGAACATGCCTCTAGGTCATCAATTGCCCTGCCCAATGCCTCCTTTTGATAGGAAGGAGCATTTCATCCCTGTTGCTTTTAGTAATAAACTGCAATTTTTTATTACTGTAAAATCAATTCGAGCCTGCAGCATGAAAGGGCAGCCTTCCCCAACAACTTTCATGAGCCCTGACCACGCTGGCAGAAGGTGATTGCATTTGTAGCAAACACCTAAGATTCAGACAGGCCCATCTAGACATGGGTTTTGCCATTTCGGTGAGATCTAGGCCCCAGAAACACTGCCTGTGATGCAGCTGTTAAATTGCACTCTCAACAGCTAGTGGCTTCCAGAAGAAGAGAGCAAGCAAAGTTGAGGTCCCACCCCAACAGAACCCAAGGGCACCCATATACTCTGTTTCAGGTAAGTGAACAGCTGCATTTGCTATCATGGAAAAAGTAGTGTGGGGGCACAGAAGACTAAGACAGAGAAACATCAGCTTTGCCACCTGTGTACCTCGTCCTCAGGTTGGCCTGCCCCCCCCCTCACCAAACAAGCACTACACCCCTGTACACAAATACTGTACACCACCACTCCAATGAGTCTTTGCAATATAAGAGGCTACCCTCCACCTCATACACCATAGTAACATATAGTCAACTAGTTAAGAATATTGGGTTGTTGCCAATGAATCCATCCTGCCTGCGCAAAGACATAGTGAGCCCCACACGGTCACCATGCGAACCCCGCCCAGCAGATCTTCGGGGGGAGGGCGGTATAGAAATTTAATATACTAATAATAATAATAATAATAATAATAATAATAATAATTTATTTATACCCCGCCCATCTGGCTGAGTTTCCCCAGCCACTCCCCAGTCAATAATAATAATAATAATAATAACAATAATAATGGGCGCCCCCCCAACCCACCCAGAGAGATGGAGACTGGGGGGGGAGAGAGAAAGAGGTCACGCACATGACTCCCAAATTGAAAGGGGGGGGGGGCAGCCCGAGCTTTCCTCAAAAGCGTAATCCCCACCAGCTGAGTCGAATGGGAACTGCGCCAACGGGTCTACTCTGAGGAGGGCCGGATTCAGATTACAGCTTCGCACACACGCGTGTGTGTTTCCCACGTGACCCCCATCGGGTTTGCACCCTCTCCCCCTCATAAAGGCCCAAGAGTTACTCGAGAGTAAGGCCCCGTTGCCGTCGAGAGCGACTCTTCTCTAAGGAGGGCTGGATTCGGATTACAGTTTCACACACACACACACACACACACACGTGTATGTGTTTCCCACGTGACCCCAATCAGGTTTGCACCCCCTTCCCCCTCATAGAGGCCTCCTATGCGTTACTCGAGAGTAAGGCCCCGTTGCCGTCGAGTGTGACTCTACTCTGAGGAGGGCCGGATTCGGATTACAGCTTCACACACACACGTGTATGTGTTTCGCACGTGACCCCAATCAGGTTTGCACCCCCTTCCCCCTCATAGAGGCCTCCTACGCGTTACTCGAGAGTAAGGCCCCGTTGCCGTCGAGTGTGACTCTACTCTGAGGAGGGCTGGATTCGGATTACAGCTTCACACACACACACGTGTATGTGCTTCCCACGTTACCCCATCGGGTTTGCACCCCCTTCCCCCTCATAGAGGCCTCCTACGCGTTACTCGAGAGTAAGGCCCCGTCGCCGTCGAGTGTGACTCTACTCTGAGGAGGGCCGGATTCGGATTACAGCTTCACACACACACACACACACACACACACGTGTATGTGTTTCCCACGTGACCCCAATCGAGTTTGCACCCCCTTCCCCCTCATAGAGGCCCTAAGCGTTACTCGAGAGTAAGGCCCCGTCGCCGTCGAGAGTGACTCGACTCTGAGGAGAGACCCTTCCCCCGCTCCCCTCCGGCGACGCTCGACGCCTTTTCCCCTCACAAACGCCCCCAGCCCCGCTTCCTCACCTGCCCCGAAGGCGCCCCCGACGGCACACAGCAGCGCGCCCGACACCAGCACCGCAGCAACCCAGGCGCCCATGGCCGCTTCTCCTCTCTTGGCGACGCCGCTACTTCCCGCCCCGCTTTATGCCCTCGGTCTCCTCCTCAGCTCGCCTGAGGGGAGCGAGAGGCCGGCGGGAGTGGGCGGGAGAGAGCGCCGGCCGCAGCCAACCGCAGCAAGCGCGCGGGGTCTGCGAGGCCGCCGATTGGGCGGAGGGAAGCGGGGAGGCCCAATGAGAGCCGCCGGGGTGGAGCCCAGAGCGGCGGTTGGAAGGCTCGAGGGGGGGGAAGGTTGTTGTCGGTTGGCGTTGAAGGACGTGCGCGGCCAGCCAATGAGTGGGAAGGCGGGGCTCGAGGGAGAGGAATAGTTCGCAAAGCGGGACGGCGAGGGGGCGGGGCGATTCGATGGACTGGTGCAGCAGCCAATAGGTGGAAGGGGCCCCTCTTTGGTCAGGCACCGCCTCTCGCCTGAGGGGCGCCGGGGTTGTCACGTACGCAGATCCAAGGGGGTGCAGCAGCTTCGACCAATCGGGGCCCCACTCTCACGGGGTGCTGTCCAATGAGAACGCGAAGTATCCAAACGGACACGCGTCCCGACCAATCACAGTTCAAGTTGTCCCGTTCTCGCCGCTTCAGCGCCCGTACGTCTGATGTCACAGTCAACATCAACGGGTGCCGGGGAAGGACAATAAGCTTAAAGAGGCGGTGTTCGTATAACTCGAGGCAGCTGCTTGGAAATTTACTTTTTTCCAGCGAAGGTTTTGAAACAGATTAAAAATTAAAAGTGTGACGCATTTCCAAATGCAAAATCCCGAGGGAATAAACTTTGTGTGTGGGGGTGTTTCAATAAAAAATGACCAGAGATCAGCCTGAAAAGGGCTTTAAAATTAGTTTGCCCTTTTAATGGACTTGATGGTCCAATAAAACCTCCATGTCTAGCGGCAGGCTACCTCTGCACGCCAATGACAAAGGGACACTACCACCTCCTAAAGCAGAATCCCTCCCAAGTGCCTGCTCATCCAGATGTTACTGGGATGCGGGTGGCGCTGTGGGTTAAACCACAGAGCCTAGGGCTTGCCGATCAGAAGGTCGGCGGTTCAAATCCCCGCAATGAAGGGGTGAGCTCCCGTTGCTCGGTCCCTGCTCCTGCCAACCTAACAGTTCGAAAGCATGAAGTGCAAGTAGATAAATAGGTACCGCTCCGGCGGGAAGGCAAATGGCGTTTCCGTATGCTGCGCTGGTGCTGGCTCGCCAGAGCAGCTTCGTCACGCTAACCACGTGACCCGGAAGTGTCTCTGGACAGCGTTGGCCCCCGGCCTCTTAAGTGAGATGGGCGCACAACCCTAGAGTCGGACACGACTGGGCCGTACGGGCAGGGCTACCTTTACCTTTTTACCTTTGCAAAAGCTCTGGTTTTCCCAGTAGTGATGTATGGAAGTGAGAGCTGGACCATAAAGAAGGCTGATGGCCCAAGAATGGATGCTTTTGAATTCTGGTGCTGGAGGAGACTCTTGAGAGTCCCCTGGACTGCAAGAACATCAAACCTCTCCATTCGGAAGGAAATCAGCCTTGAGTGCTCACGGGAAGGACAGATCCTGAAGCTGAGGCTCCAAGACTTTGGCCACCTCATGAGAAGAGAAGACTTCCTGGAAAAGACCCTGATGTTGGGAAAGATGGAGGGCGCAAGGAGAAGGGGACGACAGAGGACGAGATGGTGGGACAGTGTTCTCAAAGCTACCAGGATGAGTTTGACCAAACTGCGGGAGGCAGTGGAAGACAGGAGTGCCTGGCATGCTCTGGTCCAGGGGGTCACGAAGAGGCGGACATGACTAAACAAAACAACCTTTGCAAGCCAATGACCAAGGGACATTACTACCTCCTAAAGCAGATTCCCTCCCAACTGCCTGCCCATCCACATGTTACTACTTGCCAGATGGGGGAGTTGTGTAGCCCAAACTATCTGGAGAACCAGTTTGGGGCAGAAAGCGGCTACGGTGCTTTCAAATGCTTTGATTGCTTTCCAGAAATCTCAAATAATATAATAACTTATAATAATTTATTATTTATACCCCACCCAGCTGACTGAGTTTCCCCAGCCACTCTGGGCGGTTCAAAAAGTACCTTAGGCCCCAGTGGTACCTCAGGTTACATACGCTTCAGGTAACAGACTCCGCTAACCCAGAAATAGTACTTCGGGTTAAGAACTTTGCTTCAGGATGAGAACAGAAATCGTGCTCTGGCAGTGCAGCGGCAGCAGGAGGCCCCATTAGCTAAAGTGGTGCTTCAGGTTAAGAACAGTTTCAGGTTAAGAACGAATTAAGTTCTTAACCCAAGGTACCACTGTATTGTTAAAAGCAGTATCACAGTCATGGCTCCCTCCTCCCTCTGCAACCTAGGAACTGTATTTTGTTTAGCGTGATGTGAATTGTTAGTCACTATTCCTTTCTCAGCTTGTCTGCGAATGACGCTTGTGAACCTACGCACATGGAGCCTGAACTGGTCTGGATGACCAGGAACAAAAACATCGCGGGTGTAGCGCATATCTCAGCGAAAATGTCAACCCAGTTTGCAGTAGCCGTGGAAAAAGGCCAATTCCATGCTAGGGGTTACTAGGAAAGGAATCGGAAACAAAACAGCAGTTATCAAGAATGCCAGCATAGAAATCTTTGGTGCAACCGCATTTGGAATAGAGCATGCTGGACTGGTTCTGGTCTCCTTTTGAGGAACTGAAAATAAGAGTTTTCCCCCTCCTGTAACGCTAGAACTTACAGACGTCCGATGAAGCTGAATGCTGCAAGATTCAGGAAAGATAAACGGAAGGACTTCTTCATGCAGTGCATATTTAAAACACTGCATTTTCCCTCCTCCCGTGTCAGGTATTGGCGGCCACCAAATTAGGTGGCTGTAAAGGGACGCGGTGGCGCTGTGGGTTAAACCACAGAGCCTAGGACTTGCCGATCAGAAGGTCGGCGGTTCGAATCTCCGCAATGACGGGGTGAGCTCCCGTTGCTCGGTCCCTGCTCCTGCCCACCTAGCAGTTCAAAAGCACGTCAAAGTGCAAGTAGATAAATAGGTACCGCTCCGGCAGGAAGGTAAACGGCGTTTCCGTGCGCTGCTCTGGTTCGCCAGAAGCGGCTTAGTCCTGCCGGCCACATGACCCGGAAGCTGCACGCCGGCTCCCTCGGCCAATAAAGCGAGATGAGCGCCGCAACCCCAGAGTCGGCCGCGACTGGATCTAATGGTCAGGGGTCGCTTTACCTTTACCTAAAAGAGGATCAGACAAATTCATGGAGGAACACGAAATGCCGGCAATCCAGAGCAAGTGGCCTGTCCGGCCTCTGCCTGAGGAGCCCTCTAGGTCAGCAGTGGGGAACCAGTGCCCCTCTAGATAATATTGGACTACAACTCTCATTGGCCATGATGCTCCTGCAGGCACAGAACATACCTAACATTTCCTCTGTTACCTGCATGATGTTGGGAGGGGTCTTTCCCACCTGTAATAGCCTTTTCGTTAAGGAATCCTGAGCCTGAATGCTATAAATCAAGCTCTCAGCAAACCAAAGGGAGGACAGGCATGGACAAGCAGTGACAAGAGAATGAGACTAGGGCCGGGGAGACCCCAATTTCAAATTCTCTCTGCTATGCAGGCGATGAAGCTCGTCAGGTGACCTCACACCAAGTCTCTTAATCTCAGGGAGGCGGGTTCAAGCCCCACGTTGGGTGAAAGATTCCTGCATTGCAGGGGGTTGGACTACATGATCCCTACTGGTCCCTTCCAACTCTACGACGTTATGATTCTAAGTCACTATGTCTTGGTGCAATCCACACCTGCTGTTGCTAGGATCAAAAGGAGCTCCCCAGGTGAAAATGGGCAGACTAATGTAATAAATATAATAAAAATAAACAGAGGTAAGTGAGTGGGTGATTGCTCCACCTACAACTGCGCCCCCTCTTTACACCAAAGTAAAAGACACAAAAGAGGGACGCGGGTGGCGCTGTGGGTTAAACCACTGAGCCTAGGACTTGCCGATCAGAAGGTCGGCGGTTCGAATCCCCGCAATGACGGGGTTAGCTCCCGTTGCTCGGTCCCTGCTCCTGCCAACCTAGCAGTTCGAAAGCACGTCAAAGTGCAAGTAGATAAATAGGTACTGCTCCGGCGGGAAGGTAAACGGCGTTTCCGTGCGCTGCTCTGGTTCGCCAGAAGCGGCTTAGTCCTGCTGGCCACATGACCCGGAAGCTGTACGCCGGCTCCCTCGGCCAATAAAGCGAGATGAGCGCCACAACCCCAGAGTTGGCCACGACTGGACCTAATGGTCAGGGGTCCCTTTACCTGTAAAAGACACAAAACCCAGACTGCGCTGTGGCAACGCTGCCGTCCAACACCACGCTTCCTTTCAAAGTCCATTTTATTAAATAGTTTCAAAAAACTAGGAGAAAAAACAAACTAAAAAAGAAATCGCCCACACCTTGATGCTTAAAAAAAGACACCCCCCCTGCCCCGCTTTCCCTGATTCCACAAAACCGTCATTTTCAAAATTTCATTTTGCTTTTTTGCAGAAGGACTGCCACCCCTTTCCAGAACGTCCCTCTGTAGGTTTTCAAAACTGCACAGCCAACAAGCAAACTCCTAGAGAGGCCGGGGGGGGGGGGTGAGCACACAGGTGGATGGGAAAACATCACCTAGTGGGGGGTGGGAAAGGGGGTGTCAAATGCTACAGGAAGCAGACGGTGTACAAGCGCCACCCAGTGGCGCCATTTGACACTGCAGGGCCAATCTAAGAGAGGAGACTTTTCGATCCGGACTTAACGTGGCCGATGAGATTGCAAAAATATTATCCTCGCCCCCCCCAACCCATGCAACTAGAGAGCCCTTACTAAGAATCCCCTCCCCACAAATTAACATGGCCTAATAAAATAAAATAAACAGGCCCTTCCTCCAAAACCCCACCCACCCTCAATGCTCCGCAAAGGACTTCTCACAAGGTCCCCCCCCCCCCACTTTTTTTTGCAGTCTTTCTTAACCGGGAGCAGAAGATGCCGCTGGATTAGGCCACGGCTTGGTGGGAACGAGCGCACCCTCCCCTCTCCTGTCCCTCCCAGCTTCTCCTTTTCTTAAAAAACAAACAAACCGACGACACACACGCACACAAAAAAACCACGCACAGCATTTTAAGCCAAATTGTAGATTTGCCAACCCTCCCTGCACACAGGCAACCCCCCCCACCCCCAGTTCCAGCAGAAGCAGTGTCTCCCTTTTGAGGTAGAGTTTTTTTCCCCTTTCTTTCTGTTTCGCGTCTCAGGGCCAGAGAGGGTTTTTTTTGCTTTGTTTCAGAGTCTCAGCCGGGTGGCGTCCTGGGTTCAAGTAAAAGTGTCACAGATAGTTTATTGCTACTAACGGGAGCAGCAGCAGCAGGAGGCAGCGGTGGAGGGAAGGGGGCAGAGAGGGGGCACGGAGAAAAAGAGGGGGCTGGCGAGAGTGGCGGGGAGGGGTAGGTGTCCCTCGTCAAGACTCCTCATTGCCAGAATCGTCTTCGTCGCCGTAGCAGCTGTTGACCTCGTCGTCCATCTCGTCGTCTTCGTAGTAGTCGTCGTAGAAGAGGTCCGAGCCCTCGTCCGGCGCCGGAGTCTTGGTCTTGACGCAGTACTCCGCCAGCGTCGTCGGGACCTTGACTTGGTCGCGCTCCGCATCCACCTTGGTTCCGAGGACCTGCTTCCTAGTTGGGCGATAAGACATTCGTTTGCAACAGGGATTCGGACAGCAGAAGAGCATTAAGTGGGGATCGGCTGCTGGGTCTGTGGGATGTACCATCAACGAAGCAGTCAAATGCAACGTTTCCTGTTCCCTAGAGTGGACAGGGAACGTGGGTGGCGCTGTGGGTTAAACCACAGAGCCTAGGGCTTGCCGATCGGAAGGTCGGCGGTTCGAATCCCTGCAATGGGGTGAGCTCCCGTTGCTTGGTTTTCCCAGTAGTGATGTATGGAAGTGAGAGCTGGACCATAAAGAAGGCTGATCGCCGAAGAATGGATGCTTTTGAAGTCTGGTGCTGGAGGAGACTCTTGAGAGTCCCATGGACTGCAAGAAGATCAAACCAATCCATTCTTAAGGAAATCAGCCCTGAGTGCTCACTGAAGGACAGATCCTGAAGCTGAGGCTCCAATACTTTGGCCACCTCATGAGAAGAGAAGACTCCCTGGAAAAGACCCTGATGTTGGGAAAGATTGAGGGCACAAGGAGAAGGGGACGACAGAGGGAGAGATGGTTGGACAGTGTTCTCGAAGCTACCAGCATGAGTTTGACCAAACTGCGGGAGGGAGTAGTGTGCTCTGGTCCATGGGATCACGAAGAGGCGGACATGACTAAACGACTAAACAGCAACAACCCGTTGCTTGGTCCCTGCTCCTGCCCACCTAGCAGTTCAAAAGCACATCAACATGCAAGTAGATACCCATCTAGTTCAGCATCCTCTTTTCACAGTGGCCAATCAGATGCCTGTGGCCAGTGTTAGAAAGTGAGATATGAAAGTGAGGAGCTCAACAGCACCTTAAACCTAGGTTGTGGGTGCAACAACGGAATTTCTAGTGGCCTTTCCCACCAACCTGATGATGTCTGTGTATTCCTGATCCTTGCCTTTGCTCTCCTTCCACTTCCTGTACATCACAGAAGCGTCAACGTTGGCCGGAGAGAATGTGTTGGGTTCGTTGAGCAGCGAGATCACACTGAGGAGAATCGTCCTGGGGGTAGGGGGAGGAAAAGCAAATGACAAGGTGAGGGAGGAAGAGGCGGCAGGAACTCACCGGTGTCGCTGCTGCTGAAAACGAGTTATAGGAAAGAAGGAGACCTTAATGGCGGATTGTGCCCACCTGATCAGCCGCTGTGAGAAGCAGGATGAGGTGGGGCTTTGACCCGAGTCAACAGGGCCAGAAATTAGCCCAGCGCATTTTGCTACTAGTGTGGGTCCAGTTGCGACGACGTGGAGATTTCTGGGGGCCAGGTTAGCAACCAGTTTAAAAATCTCTGCCTCAGACCATAGTTAATACAGCCATAGCTTGGTTATCGTATGGGACGCGGGTGGCGCTGTGGGTTAAACCACAGAGCCTAGGACTTGCCGATCAGAAGGTTGGCGGTTCGAATCCCCGCAATGACGGGGTGAGCTCCCGCCGCCAGGTCCCTTCTCCTGCCAACCTAGCAGTTCAAAAGCACGTCAAAGTGCAAGTAGATAAATAGGTACCGCTCTGGCGGGAAGGTAAACGGCGTTTCCGTATGCTGCTCTGGTTCGCCAGAAGCGGCTTAGTCCTGCTGGCAACATGACCCGGAAGCTGTACGCCGGCTCCCTTGGCCAATAAAGCGAGATGAGCGCTGCAACCCCAGAGTCGGTCATGACTGGACCTAATGGTCAGGGGTCCCTTTACCGTTACCTTGGTTATCAAACAGTTTAGTTGCTGAACAAATCGGATCCCAAACGCCGCAAACCCAGAAATAAGTGTTCCGGTTTGCGAACGTTTTTCGGAAGCCGAACTTCCCGAGTGCAGGAACCTCCTGCAGCCAAGCAGAAGCCGCGCCTCCCGGAACGTATAAAGTTTGATAACCAAGGCACGACTGTACCATTTTCCGCTTCCAGTGGGTGTGATTCTCCTCCTTGCATGCTGGGACCAGTGAATTGTTGTAAGAGCAAGCTACAGTCAAGCAACGCAGTTGAGATCATAGAACTGTAGCCTTGGAAGGGAACCCAAATGTCATCTAGGCCAACCCCCTGGTGAATAGACATTCCACTGTGGCGACTGTAACCTAGGTTTAAGGTGCCACTGGGCACTAGCTTATACCTCCGTGTTTCTAACACTGAACCAGACTCAAAGGTTCCGATGGAAGCCAGAATCCTTGATTTATAAAGGTTCCAAAATATCTAAACAGAACCCCAGAGTCCTTTAAATTCAGCAAATGTTGGGTGTCGAGGGCACGTTCCAGCCAAGGAATGCACACGACGGATGGTTTACTCTTTATTGTCGAAAACTAACGCAGTCAGTGCTACAGCTCCACACCCCAATCTGGCAAAATTAGAGACAGCCAATCAGAGCTGTGATACGGTTGACGGGTAGAGGTTCAACAAAGGCCTGGAAACGATGCCTTATGAGGAACAGCTAAGGGAGCTGGGCATGTTTAGCCTGGAGAAGAGGAGGTTAAGGGGTGATATGATAGCCATGTTCAAATATATAAAAGGATGTCACATAGAGGAGGGAGAAAGGTTGTTTTCTGCTGCTCCAGAGAAGCGGACACGGAGCAATGAATCCAAACTACAAGAAAGAAGATTCCACCTAAACATTAGAAAGAACTTCCCGACAGTAAGAGCTGTTCAACAGTGGAATTTGCTGCCAAGGAGTGTGGTGGAGTCTCCTTCTTTGGAGGTCTTTAAGCAGAGGCTTGACAACCATATGTCAGGAGTGCTCTGATGGTGTTTCCTGCTTTGCAGGGGGTTGGACTCGATGGCCCTTGTGGTCTCTTCCAACTCTATGATTCTATGAACTCCCAGGGCAGAGGAATATAGCCACTGGCTGAGGAAATATCCACCGGATTTCCCTGCCTCTCTGCTAGGTAAGCTTAAAGGTTTTGACCTTTAAAGCCCTTCACGGCCTAGGACCCTCGTACCTACGGGACCGCCTCTCCCAGTATGCCCCACGGAGAGCCTCAAGGTCCATAAATAGCAACACCCTAGTGGTCCCGGGTCCTAAGGACGTTAGATTAGCTTCAACCAGAGCCAGGGCCTTTTCAACACTGGCTCCGGCCTGGTGGAACGCTCTGCCTCATGAGACCAGGGCCCTGCAGGATCTGATTTCTTTCCGCAGGGCCTGTAAGACAGAGCTGTTCCGCCTGGCCTTTGGCTTGGAGCCTATTTGATTCCCTCCCCCTCTTTCTTTTTCCTGCATTTTAATATTTCAATATTTTAATGTTGTATTTTTATCTTGTTTTTAAGTTGTATTCATTCAACTTGTTTTTATTATTGCTTGTTAGCCGCCCTGAGCCCGGCCTTGGCTGGGGAGGGCGGGGTATAAATAAAAATTATTACAGTGGTACCTCGCAAGACGAATGCCTCGCAAGACGAAAAACTCACAGGACGAAAGAGTTTTTCGTTTTTTGAGTTGCTTCGCAAGACGAATTTCCCTATGGGCTTGCTTCGCAAGATGAAAAACGAAAACGTCTTGCAAGTTTGTTTCCTTTTCAGTGCATTCCTATGGGAAACAGTGCTTCGCAAGACGAAAAATTCGCAAGACGAAAAAACTCGGAGAACGAATTAATTTCGTCTTGCGAGGCACTACTGTGTTATTATTATTATTATTATTATTAAATTCAATCGCTTAAATCAGTCACCTCCAGGTGACTGCTTCACTTTGCCCGTGATGGGAGGGATGGGTAATCTTACGACGACAGACTAGCGACAGCTTAACTGCAGCTCAAGCCTCACCTCACGTTCTGCGTGGGATTCCATCTTTCCGAAGGCAGCTCTCCACTCTGCGGGTCATCCACCGGAGGGTGTAAAATGGAAATGCAAACGTCTCCAGTCTGAAAGATGGAGATACCATTATTTTTTCCATGTACGAGACGACCCCTATTTTTCTGTACTCCGAATTAAGAAATTGATATTTTAAACATCGAAACTCTGTGCTTTTTTTTTTTAAGAAAGTTGGCCAAAGTTGCTTGCAGAGGTCCAAAGTTAGGTATACAGTGGTACCTCTAGTTGCGGACTTAATCCATTTCGGGGTGCCGGTCGCACCCCGAAAAGTCCGCAACTAGAGCGCCTCTTCCGTGCACGTGCACGAAAATCGCTTCTGCGCATGCGGCGAACCCGGAAGTAAACACTTCCGGGCTTGCCGCATTCATAACCCGAAAGTCCGTAAGAAGAGCGGAATGAAACACGAGGTATGACCATAGCTGTCAACTTACAGATTTGAAAATAAGGGACCAGCAGCCAAAATAAGGGATTTTCCGGGCACAGGTATGTTCGACTTCTGAGCCCCTCCGAGCCAAAGGCAGAAAGCCCAGCCAGCAGCCAAACGAAGCCTCAAGCGGTGGTTCCCACAGCGCAGCAACCCGGCAAAGGGGATGCAGAAAGGAAAAACCACCGCTGGGAAGCGCTGAGCAAAGGCGAGTCCCCAGGCAATGCGGCTGATTCGATTGGCACAAGGCATGCAAGCTCCACCCCCCAGTCGTTCTTAGACTCCTTATTGGGTGAGCAACACAGCCAAGCAACACAGTTGGAGCCTCCCTCCTCCCTGGCCGGCAGGGAGGGAGGGAGAGGAGCTGCTTCCTTTGAAACCCGGGAAATTTAAGGGACATCATCAATAAGGGACAGCAGCAGGACACGGCACTGGGATAAGGGAGTTTCCCGCCAAATAAGGGACGGTTGACAGCTATGGGTATGACTGTATAAGATGACCTCCAATTTTTGACTGAAAAAAAAAAAAGCAAATAAATAAATAAATCTTCTTAGATGTGGAAAAATAGTCTGTGTGTTTGTGTGTGTCCGTTGGGAGTGGGCAGACGGAGTCTTTTGCCCACATTCCAGGGCATCCCAGCAAGGCACCCCAGCTCGACGCCCATGTCCCAAGTGTGCCACCATACCTCATATATGTTTGGATGCCACATTTTGGTCAGGAAACGGAAGGTGGGTGGCGAATAAGGGTAGTCGATAGGGAACCGGAGACGAGCCTGCGGAGAACAGAGAACGGGAGAGGTGTCAGGGGTTGGGGAAGCAGCAATCAACAAGTAGGTTAGAATTGCAAGTGGCCTGCCCTGCGCCCAACTGCACCGGTTGCCAATGGGTTTCTGGGTCCAATTCAAAGCGCTGGCACACATTCTACTCATGTAAAAACACCAGGCAGGCCCCACAAATAACCCAGAGGTGCATTTTATATACAGTGGTACCTCAGGTTAAGTATTTAATTCGTTCTGGAGGTCCGTTCTTAACCTGAAACTGTTCTTAACCTGAACCGCCACTTTAGCTAATGGGGCCTCCTGCTGCCGCCGTGCCGCTGGAGCACGATTTCTGTTCTCATCCTGAAGCAAAGTTCTTAACCTGAAGTACTATTTCTGGGTTAGCGGAGTCTGTAACCTGAAGCATATGAAACCTCAAGCGTATGTAACCCAAGGTACCATTGTAAAAGGACACTCTGATTAAAACACGCTGATTCCTGGGCCGTCTGCAGGCCAGATTTAGAAGGCGATTTGGCCTGATTTGGCCCCTGGGCCTTAGCTTGCCTACCCATGCTCTACACCGTCACAACTGGAGCTGCCCCATGGCAAAACATGCCTGGTGAATTTTTAGACGCTGCAACCAAGTGCAAACGAATGTGAAATTCAGCTCATAATCGTGTCAAAGGTTTCCACGTTCTTGCCTGAGAGTCTCCAGGAACAACCCAGTTTCCCCAGAGGAGTAACGCCGCTGCCGCTTGCGAACATTCCGTGACATCACAGCAACTCAGCCAATGGCTGGGGAAGGCTCCTGGACATGTGGCACCTCCCAGACCCAAGACCCGTCCCTTCCTCTCATAGGCAGTCCCGTTTGTGTTGTGCGCACAGCTGAGTCACGCACGGCAACCATCGGCACGGGCACTCCCTGCAGCAACTTCCTCCGAAGCCGCCGCGGCATTTGGAGGTTTTGAGCCTCGCCCAGGTTTGCCTCGGCCAGGACAGAGCATGCAACCTGCCCGGGCTCGTCGGGAACTCTTTCCCTGCGCCAAGCAAGAGCCGCCTCTGGGCAACCAATCTTTTGCTGATTTGCAGAAAGAGACAAGAGAGAGCGCATGCTGGGGGTGCCATAAAACCGCTGAGCTGCAGAATGTTGCCAGACACAAATAGGAGAAGTCAGAGGGCCCGGGAGGCCGTGGTTCAAATCCCCACTCGGCCACGAAGCTCTTCGGCCAATCATGGCCTCCCAGCTCAGCCAACCTCACAGGGTGGTTGTGAGGCTAAAAATCGAGGCGAGCCATGCATAGCTCCTTGGAGCATGGGAAGGCAAACTAAGGCCCGGGGGCCGGATCCGGCCCAATTGGCTTCTAAATCCGGCCACGGATGGACCGGGAATCTGCATATTTTTACATGAGTAGAATGTGTCCTTTTATTTAAAAGGCACCTCTGGGTTATTTAGTAATAATAATAATAATAATAATAATATTTATACCCTGCCCATCTGGCTGGGCTTCCCCAGCCACTCTGGGCGGCTTCCAACAAAATATTAAAATACAATAGTCCATCAAACATTTAAAGCTTCCCTAAACAGGGCTGCTTTCAGATGTCTTCTAAAAGTCTGGTAGTTGTTTTTCTCTTTTACATCTAACAGGAGGGCATTCCACAGGGCAGGTGCCACCACCGAGAAGGCCTTAATTCGACCTCCAGAACCAATTAAGTTCTTAACCCGAGGTACCACTGTACATGAAAAAATATGTTAAGTCCTTCCTTTGATCTGTCCTAAATTCCCCGGCATTCAGCTTCACTGAATGTCCACACTTTCTAGTGTTATGGCGAGGAAGAACTTTCTCTTCTGGCTTTCCCCAATGTCATGCATCACTTTAGAAACGTCTTTCTCGCTTTTCAAAAGTCCCAAATGCTGCAACCTTTCCCATAGGGAAGGTATGTTTCGTCATCAGGCCTGGAGCATTCCCTCTGGGGGAAGGGAGGCCCATAGAACAGCCTCTATCCGAAAAACCGGTGCCTCTCCCAGAACAAAAGGTGTGATTCTGCTAACCTTCTCCTCTGTTTGATTTTTGTCTGTGTGGCTTTCCCCCGCATTGTTCTGGGCAGGGGGTCATGTGACACAGCAAGCGACCAATGGGATTCCACCTGAACTACAAAGCTGAGTATCTTTTATTTATCTCATTCCAGCAACGGTGGAACTGCCTTCAAAGTACAGATGGGTGAACCTGCCCATTTTTGTTTAAGTCAGCAATGTCTAGGCAACACGATGATCATATGGGTAAAGGTAAAGGGGACCCCTGACCATTAGGTCCAGTCGTGGCCGACTCTGGGGTTGCGGTGCTCATCTCGCTTTACTGGCCGAGGGAGCCGGCGTACAGCTTCTAGGTATGTGGCCAGCAGGACGAAGCCCCTTCTGGTGAACCAGAGCAGCACACGGAAACGCCGTTTACCTTCCCGCCGGAGTGGTACCTATTTATCTACTTGCACTTTGACGTGCTTTCGAACTGCTAGGTTGGCAGGAGCAGGGACCGAGCAACGGGAGCTCAATCCGTCACGGGGATTCGAACCGCCGACCTTCTGATTGGCAAGCTGACCTTCTGATAGGCTCTGTGGTTTAACCCACAGCGCTACTTGCGTCCCTATGTCGTATGGTAGCATGTAAATAACTTTGCTAGGAACTCTTAAACAGAGGATTACGGCATGCGAGGATTCCTGGAAGGAAGCCATGCAAAACTCCAACAGGCTTTCTTCTGAGCTGGCAGGCATAGGACTGAAACTCATGTTATAGCTAGTGTTGCTTGATATTATCATCTACGCGACGAAACAAGAGACGTCATCCCCATCTGCTGGTGTCATCCGGTGGCGAGCCCTAGGGCTTGGGTTTTAGGAGATCTGCCAAAATACAAGAACACCCAACTACCTGATCTCAGCCAACTCCCGATCTGACTCAGGCAGGTTTGTCGGGGAAGAGGCAAGAAAGGGCAGATGGGCAGGAACCTCAAAGTTGCAAAACAGGCTCATAAACCGACCCGAAGTAGCTTCCTGGGCCAAAACTGGCTCAGAGGAAGCAGCTCGTTTGTTTATTTCCTGTGGATCCCGATGACCTACTAAACGTACACCCAGGAAGAAGAAAAAACAAGCCTCTGCCCAATTTTCGGCAAGGGGTGAATTAAAGGTAAAGGTAAAGGGACCTCTGACCATTAGGTCCAGTCATGACCGACTCTGGGGTTGCAGCGCTCATCTTGCTTTATTGGTTGAGGGAGCCGGCGTACAGCTTCCGGGTCATGTGGCCAGCAGGACTAAGCCGCTTCTGGCGAACCAGAGCAGCGCATGGAAACACCGTTTACCTTCCCACCGGAGCGGTACCTATTGATCTACTTGCACTTTGACGTGCTTTCGAAGTGATAGGTTGGCAGGAGCAGGGACCGAGGAACAGGAGCTCACCCTGCCGTGGGGATTCGAATCCCCGACCTTCTGATTGGCAAGTCCTAGGCTCCCTCAGCCAATAAAGTGAGATAAGCGCTGCAACCCCAGAGTCGGCCACGACTGGACCTAATGGTCAGGGGTCCCTTTACCTTTACCTTATACCAGGGTGCCCAAACTTTTTTCAAAGAGGGCCAGATTTGATGTTGACCTTTTTTTTTAGGATTGAAGTTGTTGAGCTTTTTTTACAAATTTTTTTTTTGGGGGGGGATTTTACCCAAGGAAATAAATTGCCACGGGGCCAAATTAGCCCCCCCCACGGCTTACGTTCCTTTATTATTCTTTCTTCCTGCAGGACCTTTAGGAGTTTTGCACTGAGCTACTTATGAGTAAACCTGTAAGCTACTATGTGTGCACATGGGACAAGCAATCCCGTTTGGTAGGAGTTTTCTAGTAAGTTTTTATGCAAAAGACGTTGATGAGGGAATGGAGAAAATCAGGGTTTTATAAATATGTGGCTTTGCAGAATGTTTCTAAAACGAGTTCTAAGCAGTGTTTATTAATTCTTGTCTTCTCTTTTTTTCCTGTAGAAAAGGCCCCTGAGTAAGGCCTTTAGGGGATGAATCATGCTGGGAAACTAACAAAAAGCAATGACTCTTCAGGAACTGTGAAACGGATCTCCATTTTTGGCATTGCCATGGGATACTTCCTGTTATATACCTATTATTTATGTCACCTTGGAAGGTGAGAAAACCGGGCTTCGCAACACATCCTTGAGCACCCCAGGGACTGCTTATTCTTAGAATTTGAAATACTCAGAATAGGAATTCACAGAAACATACTTGGCAGGGATCCATGCCCTAGATTGGCAGCCCCAAAGTTTGTTTACCTCTATACTGGCACACTTTATAGTTCCTACACTAAATGTATTTCCCATCTGGATATTCACTTCACAGCGTGTGGCTATTTACAACACTGTTCATATTTAGACATTTCTATATTTACCTTTACTTTTTTATATTTACCTTTCCCACCTTGACTTGACCACAGTGATCCATGCGATGGTCACCTCCAGGCTTGACTACTGTAATTCGCTCTACGCGGGGCTGCCCTTGAAGCTGTCCCAGAAACTCCAGCGGGTGCAGAATGCTGCAGCGAGGCTCCTCACGGGGTCTCTGCCATGGGAGCATATTCACCCAGTGCTTTTCCAGCTGCACTGGCTCCCGGTGGAGTACAGGGTCAGGTTCAAGGTGCTGCTTTTGACCTTTAAAGCCCTTCACGGCCTAGGACCCTTGTACCTACGGCACCTCCTCTCCTGGTATGCCCCACAGAGGACCTTAAGGTCCATATATAGCAACACCCTAGAGGTCCCGCGCCCTAAGGAAGTTAGATTAGCCTCAACCAGAGCCAGGGCCTTCTCAGCACTGGCTCTAGCCTGGTGGAATGCTCTGTCTCTTGAGACCAGGGCCCTGCGGGATCTGATCTCTTTCCGCAGGGCCTGTAAGACAGAGTTGTTCCACCGGGCCTTTGGCTCAGAATCAGTGCGATTCCCTCCCCCTCTTTCTTTTTGCTTTCTCCTCCTATGAAGAGATTGCTCCCTAATTGTTTTAATGTTGTATCTTAATCTTTTAAATTGTATTTTAATCAACTTGTTTTTATTATTGGTTGTTAGCCGCCCTGAGCCCGGTCTTGGCTGGGGAGGGCGGGGAAAAAATAAATTATTATTATTATTATTATTATTATTATTATTATTATTATTAATGTTTACCGTTCTACTTACATATTTCAATGGGCCTTCAATACTGGTTAAGCAACTAACTCTGCTTCCCTGAGATTGCTGCCTCTATTGTCTGCTTTCCCCCTTTTCCATTCTGTGTATCAGGTCTTAAATTATTTTATGAATGGAATCGCGTAACCATTTTTACATACAGTTTTAAAGAAAAAAATAAAAGGTCGGTGCTTTTATTGCGAAATCACTTCGAGGTCATTCGTGAGAAGGGGCTCGCAAACCGAACAAAATAAATAAAATAAAACCGATTCTGCTCCTTTGTTGTTTATAATGGCGAGGGTTAATGTTTGTTTATTTTTAATGAATATTTTCGTACACTGCCTGGAAGGCTCACAGGGTGGGAAAACAGCCTAGATGGTTTAATCATGTGCATAAAATATATCTCCTATTTATGCAATGAGATTTGTACTTATGTGCTTCCTGTTTGGATTATTTACGTGCCTATTCATTTATGGGGATAACCGCCACTCCTGTTTAGCTATGTCGACACCTACATTGGCTCCCAGTACGTTTCCGAGCACAATTCAAAGTGTTGGTGCTGACCTTGAAAGCCCTAAACGGCCTTGGTCCAGTATATCTGAGGGAGCGTCTCCACCCCCATCGTTCTACCCGGACACTGAGGTCCA